CTTCTTCTTCTTCTTCTTCTTCTTCTTCTTCTTCTTCTTCTTCTTCTCTTCCTCCTCCTCCTCCTCCTCTTCTTCTTCCTCCTCCTCTTCCTTCTCCTCCTCCTTCTCCTCCTCCCTCCTCCTTCTTCTTCCCTCTTCCTTCTTCTTTTCTCTCCTTCCTTCCTTCCTTCCTTCCTTCCTTCCTTCCTTCCTTCCTTCCTTCCTTTTCTTTATTTTCTTTCTTTTTCCTTCCTTTTTGTTTTTCTTGTTTGCTGTTATTTTCTTCCTTTGTCATCTTTATCATTGTCTTCTTTGCCTTTGTCTTCTTTCTCTTCTTTGTGTTCTTGTTCTTCTTCCAAAAACATTACATTCTTAGCAAATGAACAGTGCTTTTTTTTTCAGTTTTAATATCTAATGCTGTAATAACAATAGATAAAGAGTACACTAGGGAAAGCTTTCATCACCACATGCTGCCTGAGATAGTGTGGAAATGAAATCTTCTGCTCTACTGCATTACACCTAGCAGATGGTGCTTTATGGTTTTGAACTCGCGCTTCAGAATGAGCATTAATGTAAAAGACCTAGTATTTAAAACGAAAAAGGGAAAATAGGCTAACTGACCACTTACCAAGATGGTTTTAAGAAGGTTCCTTACTTTTAGCTCTTGTCTGTATGTAAGATAAAGGTGAAATATGTTTTCAATCGAAAAAAGGGATACAGTATGTGAACTGACCACACCTGAAAGAACATTTGTATTAAAAGAAAAAAATAACTAGATTGACAGAATCAAGCAAAGGGTAAGCAATTATTAAACATTTGCTGCATCCTATTCTTTACTCTAATGTTTTAAATGGAAAAATATGGTCCAATAATATCTACTAGTAATACAAAAATAAAATTAAAAAAGGAAACCTAAAAAATAGTTCATGATATAGTGATTTTCGTCTTCCAGGTAATCACAAAACAATTTAGTACCCAAGTCACAATATTGAGTCATTTCATCAGCACTGAGGTATAAGATTGGTGCTCTGTGTATGATTTGAAGGCAGGGTTTGACATAGATGATACAGCTATGTAACAATGCTGTAATTCAGTGCCCTGGAATTTTTCTGCACATGCACTTAATGGAAATTTACTAGAAATTTCTTGCCAGAATAAACACATTTCCTTAAGGAGTGAAAGGCTTAATGTTCTTCTATTCAGATACACCTCTTTCCTGTGAATAGATAAACCAAATTATTTGGTATTAGTTATTATACTTCTCTAGTTCACAGAACTCATCTTGGTCTCCAACAGGGACTGTAAGAGCTAGAGGTATGGAATAAGAAAATGGCAGCCAATTTTATACTTCAGTAAGAGGGAAAACAAAAGCAAAGACATGATACCCACATAGTTAACATAAAAAACAACAGCAAAATTGAATGGGGAACATCTGTGAATTGGCTTTAGTTATCCTGAGGAGTGTCCTGATTAAGGATGTGAACCACACACAGGTGAACAGAGCTACTGATCCTGGAAATATAAACATTTTATGAGACAGGGTGACTTTTTATGAATGATTTTTAATCAAGACTGATAATTCTACAGTAACAGTTCTGATTATCCAGTGATATGTGACGTCAGTCGCCTGGCTTGGGAGCTACATTCCTGTGACATAACCCAGATGAGTGGGGTAGGAGGGAGGATGGATGTAGCCTTTGAGTTAAGGATGGAGGAGGCCCACCGTGGGCAATGGAGGCTGGGTGAAAAAGATTCCCAAACCTTCCTCCATTTCCTCACTAAGCCTGTTCCTGAAGTACACTTCAAAATTGCTGTCAGGGAAAGGTATTATTTATGGTGTGGGTGTCTCATTCCATAGCTCAAGGTGACCTTCCGTTGGCAATGCTGCTTAGTCTTAGTCTACTGAGTGTTGAGATTGCTAGCTTAGGGTGCCATACCCTACTCCAAAAAGAGACTGTAATGATCCTTCCTTACATTTTCACAAGCACTGTTAATAAAATCTGTAAGTTCCAGGGAACCAACCTTAGCACATAAACCTTGCCTACCAGCACATCACAGCTAACTGTCCAGTTACGGCTCACTTCTTTGGAAGGTTTTTGACTTTTCATTTTAACAAACTATTTGGAATTCAACTGGATAGCTTTGTCTGAGTTTAAGGACCTGCTCTTTCACACGGCATTAAGAGCCTACTCTTTAAATAATTATTGGAAAGACCGATTTAGATGTGAGAATATCATTCATGGATTACTAAAGAATTTTATTATGTTTCTATTTATTGTCAATATGTACAGAAAATAAAACTGGTCTAGCAATTATTGCTTCTTAGCAGTCTTTCTTGGGAGATAAAATGCATTTTGAAATTAGAATAATAAAACACTTTCTACCACTTATTATCCCCACTCAAACAGTACTTTTTAAATAGAAAAGCATTTTATGTAAAGCAAAAAATACCAGAGATGAAAGTGTTGCTTCTCTGAAGTGCTTACATGCCATTTTCTTTCTATCTGTAAATAATAAAAAAATGAAAATTCATTTCTATTCTATGTTGGTTTTTATTGTAAATTCTCGTAATTCAACATCAGAAGTAGGTGGGATGTAAGTCTAAGGAAATGTAGTTTACTTGATGCCATAAAGATGTTGTTCAAGTGCTGCTGAGAGAGGCGGGAGGTTGTCGGCCAAGGCAGCGCTTGCTGCCAAGTCTGGTGACCAGAGTTCAATGCTGGGGACTTACGGTGCAGCGAGCGAGAACTGAGTCTGCTGAGTTGTACCTCGACTTCCACACAAACTCCATGATTTGTGAGCCCTCTCCTATCCAGAATAAATAAATGTAATAAAAGTAAATCCCATTCAATTCATTCTTTTCATAAATAACAGGAAATGTCAGAGGCAATGTCAAGTTATTCAGAATTTCCAGTAAATGAGTATTTAACCATGTTAGAAATTATTTATATGTACAAGTCATGAGTACATTTATAAGTTTTTAAAGTGCTTTCTTCAGTAGACTGTAAAGGAAATTTCATAAATTAGCTTCTATATATTTCACTATGGAAAATAAGATAGAAATGGCAATAGTACCTTATTCACAATGGCTGCAATTGACTATAAGTTGGTTGACTTTGGTATATAAATATAATTGATAAAAATTATGTACTATATAAAATTCACTTCCTATTTCTTTGTGAATAGCCAATAATCAAGACTCACTCTGCTGTTTTCCAAATACATAGCATCATATTTAAATGTGTCTAAGTGAAAGGACAAGTTGTTCTTTATTCCGTGTCATTCTTTTTGGTAGAGCATGCAACTTAAATGAATCATCAAACCATTTCCCTTGGAGTGTTACTGACCATAACATCCCTCAATTAACAAAGTAAGGGTGAACTTAAGGAGTTTCTAGATTCCCCAGCTCTGTACTGTGATGTGTTAGGAATGGTGCCAGTTTCTCATCTGAAATGAACCACGTTTTGTTTTGCATTTATAGTCGCAGATATGGTCAGTATACCATGAACCCAGAAAGCTCCACCAAAGCTTCAGAGAGACCTCTGTTTGATCGATCAAGTTCTCAGGATTCTTTGGATGAAGTATCAATGGAAGCCTATTGGACAGAACTGGAAAACATCAAGAGATCGAATGAAAATCGCCAAGAAGGTCAAGAGGCCATAGTTGTCAAAGAGCCTGATGGTAATGTCTAAGTGAATAAGATATGTCTTTATTAGGAGAAATGGATGACCAGAAAGAAAGGGAACAGATCCCAGATAACCCTGCTAATTGCCTTTGAACTTGAATGTTACTTGATAATAGCAGATAAGAGTCCAGTTACCAGGTACAAGTGTTCTACCTGGTACAAATTCACTTTGTAGTGATAGCCATTCTATTAGAGATTCAGTTATATTTGTAGTTTAAAATCATCTACACTGACTTTAATTCCTTTCATAATATATTAGCCTCAAAGCTATTTCATCTGCAGGATGTGCTGGATGGTGATGGTAAGCTTCCAACTTTGCCGTGGTTCAGTTTTTCCATTTGTCAAGTAGCTTGATTGTTAGGTCTATGTTGTTTTGAAGTTTGTTTTTTTCTATCTCAGAGTATGTTGCTGTAATCTTTCTGCTTAAAGGAAGAACAAATAAGTTTATTATACTTTTCCATATTATGGTAATCTTTTGAATATTTGAAGGTATTTATCTTGTTTCTAGCCAATACATTTCTGCATGGCAGACAGGTATAAGCAACCTATGTGTGTGGTTGATTTGACCTCTGCTAGATCTTGTCCTGCATTGTTCAGAACAGTAGCCAGACAGCATGCCTTGCTAATGGAAGGGTACAGCTTTGGATGCTAAAAGACATAAATATTTTCAGCTCCCTTAGATACTTTTTTCTGGTAGTTAGCACATTGATTTTCCTACTTTTCTTCCCAACAATATTTTATATACATTTTACTATTATACTTGGTATTCTAAAGTAAACACGCAATATTTCACTTTTTAATATTTTTCTTAATTTTTGTACTATTTCCTTAATCTTTTAAATTCACAAAGTTACCATATCTGTGATGTCTGATTTGTCATCAAAACTGTGGCTTTCTTTCTGTGCTATTCATAAATATGTATGTATATTTTTATGTACCAGTAGTTATATAAATGCCAAAAAAGATAAAGTCATTTTCAGTTCTGCCTATTAATTTAGACATCCTCAACTCTCACCTCAGTGTCTGATGAACTACCGAGTTAAGTATCCCTATAAATAGGACTTTCTTCTTTTCTATGATGTTTCTTTTTAAAAATCTACCAGTAGTAATCTGGAGCCTGGCTTCTTGTTTAACAGGGTCTCTTGTTTAACATAGAACATAATTGTTTTTAATTATTTAATCCTTCTGCCTCAGCCTTCTAAGAGCAGGATTCCAGGTGTGTATCACTGTACCTGTCTTGGATATTTTTCTGTTTAATATTTCTCAGACTAATGAAAGAAAACCATAGTCAATTAATTTGACTTCTCATTCACTTTCTCCTGTTCTTTCCTAAATACATTATGGTAAAACTTATCTTATTTGTCGTAATTATTATTTTTCAGTCTGTGTTTCAAGACAGAAGCAACTTGCCAGTCGTGTTTCCCTAACATAACAATATGTTAGGGAAAACCACACTTAAGCTTTGGCTGTTTGATAATTCTACAAACTTATGTTGAATTAACAGAAGATGAAAACCAATGAGCATAATTCTGTATGCTCATATTTTCTTAGGCATTATTATTATCATTATTATTATTGTTACTCTCCTGGAATTCACTAGAGATCAGGCTGTCCTCCCACTTGTAGAGATCCATCTGCCCTTCTGTGCTGAGGTTAAAGGCATGAACCACAGTGCCTGCCTTTTCCTAGATTTTAAATAGTTTTTGAGTTTTCCTCCTATTTTTAATGTACTAAGTGGGTATGACAATTTTGTTTTCCTTGTCATGACAATGTCAAACTTACTCCTCACCATCACTATGGATTGGCACACCTGGAGCATTGTTTTATCTATCTATTCACCAATAATCCCAATGACCAATTGTTTTCCTTGAGGTCCAGGCTATTGAACCTGATTTCTACATTCAAGGAGTTACTCTAGTGCAGAAGGACAGACATCAGTCACGAGTGACACAGATGATAACATTTGCAAAATATCACCATTTTTGGTCAGGAAGTAGCTTTGATGGGTCTCATTTAATTTGTAGAAGAAAAAAGCAGAGTTCAATATGGTCAAGATTCTGAAACGTGGTATAGACTTTTGTTTGTGTCATTTTTTACCTGTCCTTGTTTATTTCTCTCTAAACATGGTGCTTGAAGTGACTCTATTCTAGTTTTCCATCTGTTTTTCCGTAAGTGTCATTAGGTCTTAGATAATACAGCATCTCTTGACATACAGGAAATGATTGGTTCCAGGACCCCGAGTACCCAAATCAGCAGACAGATACTAAAATGTCTTGTATGAGTTTGCAAAAACCTATTTATGTACGCTTATATTCTTGAAGTCATCTCTGTGTTATTTAGAGTTTTTGATGCAACGCAAAGTACTATACAGATAGTTATGATGTTGGGTTTAGGGAATGACAAAAAATTAAATGTCTATGGTCAGGCTTATTTGGGTATGAAGGAGTCTGTTACAGAGGGCATCAGAACTTAGAATCTGCTTGAGCTGCATAGTGAGACTCTGTCTAAAGAAAAGGAAAAATGAAGGAATGGCAATACATAGATCAGGCACTGCTTTTAGCAGCACATCAAATCTAGGTTAGTTGAATATTCAGATGCAGAGACCACAGATGTGGAAGGCAACTGTATTTAGTTTATAGTTGAATTCCTACTTTCCTTGTTCTCAATTGATTCCGTTATCTAATTAGTTTTCATGCAATCTTTCTTTTCATTTTCATTGAAAATAATGTGCTTTAAGAAATTCTTTGAGCTGGGCGGTGGTGGTGCATGCCTTTAATCCTAGCACTTGGGAGGCAGAGACAGGCGGATTTCTGAGTTCGAGGCCAACCTGGTCTACAGAGTGAGTGCCAGGGCAGCCAGGGCTACACAGAGAGAAACCCTGTCTCGAAAAAAAACCAAAAAAAAAAAAAAAAGAAGAAATTCTTTGATATCAATATTATCTGATACACCCAGAAAAAATTAGAAAATTTAATTTGAAATTCCCAGGTATATATTTTTTACTACCTTTCCATATGCCTCATTAGCCACATGGAACTGAGAAAACAAAGCCTTTTGGAGATTAGTGTTGGGCTCCAAGATAGCCTTGAATTCAAGCCAAGAAACTAGGCCTCCACACATGCTCATACTAACTTCCTGTGCCACCCGCTGGAATGTGTTATTTCTTCATTGCTTGCTTGCCTCTAGGAGAACGACAGTACAGACTCCCTCAGTTCATATGCAGGAAGTTGTGGAGGTTAATTACATATGAAACAATTTTAAAATTTTTAATTAAGCATATATGAAATTGACCCAAAATGTGCTATCACTATGGCCAGAGAGGATGGCAGTTGTCCAAGTTTCAAATAATAATTCTCAGCTCCATGGCTTGGTTATAATAGAAGCATTTCAGTCAGGATTTCTGATAGTCTAAGAATATGAACGTTTTTATTCTTTGTGATTTCAAAAACATTTCTTTCTTTTTCAAAAAAAAAATCCATTTTAGAGGGAGAACTGGAAGAAGAGTGGCTCAAGGAGGCGGGTCTGTCCAATCTTTTCGGAGAGTCTGCTGATGACCCGCAGGAAAGCATCGTGTTTTTATCTACACTGACCCGGACTCAGGCAGCAGCTGTTCAGAAACGTGTAGAAACAGTTTCCCAGACCTTGAGGAAGAAAAACAAACAGCACCACATTCCTGACGTCAGAGACATATTTGCTCAACAGAGAGAGGCACAAGAAAAAGTAAGATTCTTTTCTGATATGAAAACAAATGATGAAATGCTTGGAGTCATTTGGACCAGTCCAGTTTAATTGAAGTCATTGCGAACTTAGTGAGCACCTGTTCTCTACCCAGTGTCAAAGCACTATGTTGGCAGTGAACCAGCCTTCTTTAGTTTTGCCCTTCTAGAAGTTACCCCAGAGAGACAAATACCCATGCAAGTTCAAATTCTATGTAATAATTCTGTACTAGGGAGGATGGGGTCCTTGAAGTAAATGTGCCTGTCACACCGTTGAGTAGGACAAAGTAGTGGAGAAGGCCTTCTACATGGCTTGGGAGCCTTCTACATAGCTTGGGTGCCAGTTGTTTCTGACAAAAAAGCAGGACCCAATACATTAATCCTTATCTATTATTGCTTGAGGAAACAGTTGAATTTCCAGGTCACTGAAGGATAGAAGTGGAGTATCAAGCAAGTGATAGCACCCTTGAGATGTGAAGGAATGTCCTCTTTGTGTCTAGCCCCCTGCACCTTACATGGCATATAGAGTTGAATTAAGATGAACCCAAGTGATTAATGTTTCTATGGAAGATGCTGATTCTGATGAAAATAGACGAGTGTTAAATGAAGAGATTTTAGGAGATAATGGAAGTACTAGACCTGTGAGGCCCTGAATAGTGGTGTGCAGCCTAGCCCATTGATAGAACACCCAAAGTTTATCTCTGAGGAAATAAGGAGCTTGCATTGGATTGAAATAATCATGTGGAACTTTTGTCAAGAAGGTCTTGCTACTGATAAAGAAAAGTCAGCTGAACTAAATGGTGTTTTTAAGAGCGTAGAAAATTTTGCTTACTGGCCCCATCAGCTCTGGTTTAGAAAATTCAGTAGAATCACTGAGAGAGTAACAAGAGAATTTTTGAATAGTAGATATAATGACAACATTAACAGTAGCAATTGGTGCCATAGCTACTGAGCTAACTGCTCTACTTGCTCGAGCTCATTGAATCCCCTTAGCCGTCTTCTGAGTGAGGTGCTATCATTTCCATCCTACGGCTAAGGTTCATAGACTTTAAGTAACTTGCTCAATGTTCTCTAGATGCTAGCCCCAATTTTGTCTGACTTTAAAGCATTTTCTCGTCTGCAGTATTTCCACTTTCAAACATGACTCTGATAGTAAGCAGTCTGAACTTGAGAATCCATTTATGGTATAAGCAGTGGGCAATAAAATTTTCATGGCTTTTCATAAAAAGCCGAATGGAGGAGTTTATATTGAAGATACTTTGTTGTTGGTGGTGTTGTTATTTAGAAAGCCTTTACTTTTTGCAATTACTTTGCTTTCTGCAAAATCCCTTCAGTTGCAGACTGTTACTTTGTTTGCATGGCCAAGTGTAGATCAAATTCATCCCATTTACAGGAAATTCCTGGGTCACTAGATTGTTCCAGGCACTTGTATAAGTTATATCCTTGTTTGCTATCCAGTGGCTATTTGGGCCATCTACCAGTGCTGGAGGATGGAACTAGGCTTTCAACTGTAGAAAAATGAATGGTAAGGAAATATAATATGACATTTCCTTCCTAATTAAAGAACACTGCTTCCTCCCTAGCCCTGCCCACTAAGAAAGCTCAGAGGAAGTGACAAGCAGAAATGGATAGACTTAGCAAAATATATGGTGTGGGATTCCTGCTAGTCTTGAGGACAATGTTGCTACTTGGTGCTAAAAGAAACTTTTTATTTTCGCAGTAAATTCCTAGAAAAGTGTAACCCACGTGGTTTAGAATCTACAGTCATTGGTGGCTTTTATTATTGGTTTGGTGTCATTAAGAGAGAAGTAACACAAGCAAATGAAGACAATGTTTTCCTTTGCTGGATACCTTTAGTTGAGATATCACTATTCTTTAGAAGATTACTTTCCATCCCCCACCCCTTAAGCATCCATCTTTGTTTGTGGTTCTTCTCTTCTGGGATAAATGTGTATTCAGCTTTTCCAGTCTCCATACTTAAGCACAAAGTCTGTGCTGACACCAGGAAATTTAATGCCTAAATGTATCCATATTCATGCTTATCTTCAATTACTAACCAAAACAGTCTGACCGTATATATACCATATATATAATTAGAATCTCTGGCTGTGTTCACTGTGCCATGAAAAGCCAACCTTCTGCAGACTTAAAGCAGAGAGAAGGAGAATGTCTTATTGTAACCAACTAAGGAGTGCCATTGACCATACAATGTGTCACTTCTGTGACTTGACATTGCCTTGAGTCTCTAACTCATATGTTAATGACATATTGATTTACCAGTCCTGGTAAAACAGTGAGTGAGAGAGGAGAGGCCTTTGTGGATAACAAATACACAAACACAAACACATACACACACACACACACACACACATACATGTAGGATATACATATCAATATATATCTGAGGTTAATTGTTCTGTGAGGAAACTAGACGTGCTAGTTTTTGAATGTATAGATGGAATCCAGTAGAGTAATTATTAAAAATAATCCATTCAAATAGACCTCTTTGTGTGGTTGGCCCAGGGTCCCTTTCCTGACCCCCTCAACTCTCACAGAGCCCTGTCTGAAGCCAGTTCTAACTCATCATGTTTATAACCCTTGAAGGGCCATATCTCTAAGGTGTCATGCTCATGGCAACAATCTCTTTAGGGAAAGAAAAGAATTCCTTTGAAATATGTCACTGCTTATTGCCAATTAGTTTTAATTTATCTCACATTTCTTTAAACCACTTATTTTATGTGTACATATTTGTATATGGGTGTATGCACACATGTTTGGAGGCCAGATGTTGACATTGAGTGTCTTTCTCAATCACTCTCCACCTTATTTTTGGAGATAGAATCTATCACTGAAGCCAAAGCTAACCAATTTGGCTAGAGTGGCTGGCCAGAAAACTTTAGGAATGTCTCTATCAGATACACACTTCCCTACTCAGATATTTACACACATGCTGGGTTTGAACTTGCGTCTCCATATTACTCTTTGAGCTATCTTATATTTAAGATTATCATTTATTTGTTTGTTTACTTATTAGAAAACACGGTCTCTCCTTGCAGCCCATTCTAGCCTTGTACCCATTATATCACCAAGACTGGCCTCAAACTGATGAGAATCCTACTGCCTCAGTCTCCAGAGTGCTAGGAATACAGAGTACAGGGAATACATACTTGGCTGGTCACTATTTTTTTTTAAGACTTTTTATTTAAATTTTAATGTGGTAGCTAGTATTTTTGTTTGATGATAGAAGTCTTGTGCTAAACTCCACATACTATATGATCACTCAGTAAAGCGTAGAACTCAGTCTGGGAATGATTGTCTGTATGATTCAGGCCAGGTGACAAGTAAACTATATCAAGAACAATAAGAACAACAACAAAAAAGAAGTTAGTTTCTTTACAGATGCAGTGACTGTTTAGCTGCCCATGTTCTAGTAATAACTCCCCACCCATTCTTATGCAAGGGACCCTAATTAAACTTGTAGGTTACCCCTCTCCCCAAAAAATAGACATGGAAGAGGGCACTTGTTTGGATAAGTAAAGGGTTCCATGAGAGCAAAGGACAATAGGAGAAGGCATTAAGAGTTGTTGAATATGATTAGAATATATGCATGTGTAAACTTATAAAAAATAAATATTTAAAAACCAGTAAAAAATAGATGTATAGTCCAGTGATTTCTGCCATCATCACAGTCAACGATGACACACTTTATTCCGTGCCCTGCAAAGAAAGCTCATATCCAACAACATTTACTTCCTATGTTGTCCTGAATACTTGGGCAAATGTGGATCATTGGATCTGTGTGATTTGCCTGTTGGGGACTTTTCAGATAAATGGTATCATAATATACATGGCTTTTGGTGACTTTTCCTTTCACGTGACATAATATTCATTAATGTCGAAGCATGATTTTGGACTTTATTTTCGTTGTTGTTGCTAACTACTATGTCAGGGTTTGAGTAAACCTCATACATCCACTCACTGCTAGATGTTGCTAACATTTCATCTAGATAGTGGGGTTTCAGATAACAGGGACACTCTTGGCATCTTTCCTCTTCCCAGTTGTGCTTGGTGTGTGTTTCACTGCTATGAGTAACCACACACTCATTGTATGATTGTCTATTGATTATGACCGTGGCACTCTGTTTCCTGACAGTGACTTGTATAAGTCTGAGTCCATTTCTTGTTCTCTGAAGATTATAATGGGATTATTTACAGTGCTGTTTTCTCTAGTTGTGAGTTCTCTAGATGACTAAGTGGCTCGTTTTCTCTGTTCAGTCTCCAGATGACTCAGACTTGCGGTCAGTCAGAACAAACGAAAACAAAGGCCAAGGAAAAGATGGTATGTTGGACTTGTGCTTTTGCTTGTCTCTTTACTTACTGTAATAAACATAACTCTAACATATTCCCTTCAATTCTACTGAGCAACTTCTATGAAAGTATTAATGTAAGGTTAATAATACAGATAAATACATGATTCTGAACAGAGTTGGCCCTTTATTATTTTTATGTATATTCCCATATGATCTCAGTGTACGTATACATCTTCCTGAATGTTTATCATTTCTAAAGTGGCATGGAGAGCTTTTTGCTTCATTCCATATACTTAAGAATCTTTCCTGGCTAATAACTGTTCTCCAGAACTGAAGCCATGTTTTCCGGACCATGCCTCTGGACCTTGGAGTTAGTGCCCTTTTTGTGAATTATAAGCTCTAAATTCATAAATGGTTTTGTTTTCAAAAATTTTAGAGAAACCTATAAGAAAATGAGATTATTTTTTAAAAAATGAATTATAGTTCTCCTTTTCATGCATTTCACATTAAGCATTTATTTCAGAGATGAATTAAAAATTAAAACAAATACAAAGATTCTATTAAGCACCACGAAGAAAAAGTTTACAATTATTGGGCTTTTAAGAAGCGAAAATATTCTTAGTTTAGGTCCTAGGTTGACACTTAAAACATCCATCCACTAGTTACTTAAACACTCACACAGATGAACTGTGTAGTTATATTCTCAACTCCTTAGCATCTGAGGCATTTGTACATGGCTGTGTGGCCTTGGGCTTTGAAGTGGCAGGGTGAAGGAATGGCTGTCAGATAAACTAGAGGCCCTAGGAGCATCCCCAACCTTCCTTTAGAAATCCTTCTTTAGGACAGAGTTGTATGAGAAGGTTTAGAAATCTGAGAACATATATAGCATCTTTGTTTATTTAGAATTTTCTCAGTACTTCTCTCTTGTATTCCCACCAGAAAAGTAAAAGCATACAGTGTACACATATGTATGTGAACATCATGAGTGTGAGCACACACACACACATATGAATATCACACATCTGAGTACACAAACGCACATTTATAAAAACACTCTTTTCCCTCACTTTGGTGGAGGCCTCTGTAGCAACATGTGCTGCATCAGAATGAACCATTGAGTATTTCCCCCTGTCTCTGTGCCAGCAGACACTGAAGTGGCACACAGGCTGGCAGTGCTGGCTTTAGCCTTCTGGAGAGCTGGGTCCTCAGAAACACAGACGGATCTTTTGTGTGAGTGTCAATATGCTTTGGGGAAGAGTGACTGCCAGTTGCTTAACAGATATCGGGGAGAACATTGTCCTTGCTTCATGTTTTCGTCTCTTGCCAGACATCCTAATGTAGGATTATAGCAACAAAGGTTCTGTGAGACAAGTCTGTTACATGATCGCTTTCAGGTTGAGATTGCGTTGGGCAAGAGAGATGTGACAAACTTGTGGCCTGATTTATATCTGTTTCTGCTTGAAGGGAAAACAGTAGGAAGCAAGCTGCCAGCCCAGTCACCAGGTAGCTGCTGCTGCTGCACCTGTTTGGGACAGGGCCCACTCCTTTGCTTATCACGAACTAATGGTGTTTTAAACACTTTGGAAAATTCAGAAAGAAATTTTCCTAGATTTATGTCAGTCTTTGTGGTTGCTGCTCTGATAAAACTCTTCAAAAACAGCTGGAGGGAGGAAAACATTTATTAGGCTTACAAGTTACAGTCCATCATTCAGAGATGGCAAAGCAGGAGCGCAAGCCATAGATGGATGATGCTTTTTGTCTTCCTCCCAGGTTCAGGGGAAGCCGTGTTTCTTATTCAAGTTGGGGACCCCTGCCAAGGGATTACACTGCCAACAGTAGGCTGAATCCTGCTATATCCATTAGCAGTCAAGGAAATGCCACACAGACATGCCCACAGGCCAATCTGATGGAAGCAATTCCTCAGTTCAGGTTTCCTCTACTCAAGTGTGTTAAGTTGACAATTAAGGTTAGCCATCACCTATGTGCAAGGAAACATCATCTGGAGTTTGTAGAGCCAGGCTGGGTCTGGTCAAAATCTGACAGCACAAGTGTCTAATCTAAATGTTTTCCCCATTCTTGAGTTTTTATTCATTCTGAACTGCCTGTTTTGGAGCTGGAGAGGTGGCTGAGCAGTTAAGAGCACCCTGGTTCCATTCACAGGACCTACAACCATCTGTAACAACAGCTCTAGGGAAGGCACTGCATACATGTGGTGCACAGACAAACATATAAAAACACTAGTTGTGGGCTGGAGAGGTGGCTCAGTGGTTAAGAGCACTGACTGCTCTTCCAGAGGTCCTGAGTTCAATTCCCAGCAGCCACTGGTGGCTCACAACCCTCTGTTATGTAATCTGATGCCCTCTTCTGGCATGTAGATGTACATAGAGCAATCATATACATAAAATAAATAGATCCTTAAAAAACACCAATTATAAATAAAATTAAAAATACACCTTTTAAAAGAATTTCAAATTAAAAAATAATAGACTTTGAACATTGCAAGTATTGTCATATTTCACATTAATCTATATTCTTCATTCTTCATAAAATTATACAACTCTATGAAACGCCTAGCATTTGTATTTATTTATACGTATTAATAAATTGATACTTAAAATTTTTTATAGTGATCTGTATATTTTTAATTTTCATTTCTATGAGAGAAGAAAAGTATTTTTAAAATAGGTATTTCTATTATTTTGGATAACTGGGCAAATTTTTTAAAGTAATTAATTATGTAAGTTAGACTTGTTGCCTTCTTTAAAATCAGAAAGGACTGGAGGGATGGTTCAATCACTAAAGGGCTTGCAAATAAAATGCTAGCCCTGGAAGGATATGAGGACTTGGGAAGGATCCCCACAATCTATATAGAAAAGCCAGATATACATAATGCTCCACATATGTGTGTACATACCTGTGAGTCCATGTGTATAAATCAGTGAACACACATAAACATAAAAAAGAGGAAATTGATTAAAGAAATTATATGCACTGCAAAGGTCAGTCTAGACATGTGGGTCCCTAGGTGTCCTGCTCAGCTAGACTAGTCTATTTGTTAAGCTCTAGGCCAATGGTCTCAGACTACTTGTCTCAAGGATGAAGTAGACGAAGCTGAATGAGTGACATTCAGGGTTTCCTCTAAACTCCACATATATGTATGCACACCTGTGAGTCCACCTGCACAAACAAACACATACTCATGTAAACCACTGCACTCAAGAATGTGCACCTACACACACACACACACACACACACACACACACACACACGCACGGGAAATAGAGTAAAGAAATTATATTATTTACACTTGTGGACGTAACAGGCAAGGAATCCATGTCAGGATTTTCCTGTAAGTACTCTGTGTGAGTCTGATGGGTCCATCGTTGTTTTTAGCCACATCGCTGGCCATCTTTAGCAGTGACCACTGTCACTGACAGTTATTTTCTTTGTCCTCTGCCTGAACTTGGTTTCACATTCAAACCGAGGTTTGTGGATTTTTATGCTTTTTGTTCTTGTGGCCCCTATTTTCTGGAGGGAATGAATTTGTTTTAGGTGTGTTCTGCATGACTCCGTTTTGGGCCTATTTATTTTGGTTTGCACAAGGAGGATATGATTTTGTAACTGACATCGAAGCATTGAAGAGAATCAATTTTAAATTCTTGTCCACCGACATCCAGAAGCTGAAAGTAGCTTCTAATTTACAAAAATGGCTAATCATTTTTTTCATTGAATGGTTTCCTAGGAAACCAATAATATATTCACAGCAAAACATATAACCATAGAAACTAATGGGAAATAAAATTAATTTCTGTTTTGACATTTATGATAATACTTTAAAAATTAATCATAAAAGTTATTAATTATTCTACTTAAAATTGTCATAGACTGTTGAAAAACACAAACACAACATAGATGGGGGCAGATAATACCATCTTGGAGCTTTCCATTTATTTTTATTTCGGGGTTTGACGTGGGTACAGGTTTGCTTGCTTGCCTAACTAAAAGCTTGCCTAAGAGCCAGCTGAGCTGGCTCACACTAAAAATCTAGGCTTTCTGTAGGTTTCAACTTGGCTATAGAGAAGCATTAAAACAAAGGCAAGACCTTTCTGAGTCCCATATGGCTATGTTGCCACATGGTCATGAAGCTGGCTCTGCTTCACTGCAGGAATGAATAAAACTGGATTCGTAGCTAGTCCTTAGTTTTATTTTGATCGAAACAGAAGGTTTTTTTTTTTGTTCTTGTTTTTTGTTTTTTTTGGGTTTTTTTTGTTCTATTAAGCAATGACAAAAATTGTTCTGAGCAGTGGCTTTTAAATGATATACCTCTAGATTTCTGACATGTACTTATTACATTTTTAAAAGTAATTGCCCATTGTATCTTTTTGTTTACGGTGTGCAATATTAGTGGGCAAACATACAAAGGACTGTTTTTGTTTTGTTTTATTGTTTGAGACAAGGTTTCATTTTGCTCAGTCAGAAAGTAAATCACTATTTGGATTAGAAGCAAGTACTAATCATGCCCAGGTGTCAGCTTAATTATTTACTTGGGGTTTATTAATTTATTTAAGTTTATTCACTATTGTAAATTATGTATTGTGTATAGGTATGTTTACTATTATTGTGTATATGTATGCTGCATGTGTGTGTGTGTAAATGTACATGCTATGGTGTACATACAGAGGTCAGAGAACAACTTTGAGTTATTTACTATTGTGACCATGTATGCTGCATGTGTGTGTGTGTTTGTGTACGCCTGTGTAGACATGCACATGCTATCGTGCACATGTGAAGGCCAGAGAACAACTTTCATGTGTCTCTTCCCACTTTGGGATCCAGGGAAGGAACTTTGGTTCTGAGGCTTGTATGGCAACACCTTCACTCTCTGAGCCACCTGGTCAGCCATACTTTTGCTTTTAGAGACAGAGTCTCCTAGCCCTGGTGGCCTCAGAGTCTCCATGCAGTGATGATGACCTTGAGCTCTTGAGTTCTTAGCATCCCTCCTCAGTGCTGGAGTCACAGGGACTGGCAGCCATGACAGGCTCTCTCTTTTCAGTTCAGGGCATCTTGAAAATTATTATAAGTCAATGTTTGGTAGTGGGAAGCAACCTCAGTGTTCATGCTAGCATTTTTCTAAAGTGAGTTGTAAGAAAAGAGAAAAATTTACCAAGGCAGTTTGGAAGTGTCTTCTTCCATCCCAGTAGTTGTTTTTATCAAAGAAAAAAATTCAATGTTAATTAATTCTTAGAGGATCAGCAGCAGACAAAATAAAAAGCCCAAATAAAAATTTTAATCTTTTTTTTTTTTTTAAGATTTATTTATTTTATTTATGAGTACACTCTAGCTATCTTCAGATACACCAGAAGAGGGCATCGAATCTCATTATGGATGGTTGTGAGCCACCATGTGGTTGCTGGGATTTGAACTCAGGACCTCTGGAAGAGCAGTCAGTGCTCTTAACCACTGAGCCATCTCTCCAGCCCCAAATAAAAATTTTAAAATGCTGATGCAAATATCCACAGCTTCTTTGACTCATGCTGGAAGGGGCCTCTATGCTCTTTAATAAAATCAGGAACCAAACCTGTTGATTCTTGTACCAGGCACCTCCAGATTCCACTTTCTTGTTGGCATCAGCTGCTGTTTTGGAATTTTTACCATGCTACATAGGGAACATTCCTAAAAATTTTAGGGTGTGGAAAGAGGTCTGCTCCAAGATGTATTCCACTCTGAAGAAGGTTAAGGAAAGGCAGGAGTCAGAGATACAATGTATCGCCCCTCGCTCTTCTGCTTTTAGTTCCTCAATACAGAATAAAGCAGCAGCTGTATCTCCTAAACTTTATGAGACTTTCCATTGAGTTTGATGCCTTCTGGTAGTCTTTTGAATTTCTACCCAGTCTAAAAACTGTGACCACAAAGACTCCCAAGTTGGACTCTGGTTTGTCAGTCACTTCTTTCAGCTTTTACTCCGTGAACCACTGGTACAATCCCTTGAGTAAACATTTTGTTATCAACATGGCAGTAAATTGTTGCCTAGAGAAATGAGTATTCTTCCCACAGGTCCGGTTAATATATTATAAGTTTTTAAAATAAAAGGCATGCAGCTGAGTTCTCGTTTTCTCTCTTAGAGCAGCCATCTAGTGGGGCTGATGATAACAAGGAGCTGATCCCACTGGTGCCTGAGGACATACCTGCCTCTGAAACAGACATCAATCTGGAGGTGTCATTTGCGGAACAAGCTGTCAATCAGAAAGAGTTCAGTAAGGAAAGGACACAGAAGATCAAAGGCAATGATGCCCCTTTGCCCGTATGTAGTACATATTCAGATGGCTCTAAAAGAATTTGTTTGTTTGTTTGTTTGTTTGTTTGTTTTTGGAGACAGGGTTTCTCTGTGTAGCCCTGGCTGTCCTGGAACTCTCTCTGTAGACCAGGCTAGCCTCGAACTCAGAAATCTGCCTGTCTCTGCCTCCCAAGTGCTAGAATTAAAGGTGTGCGCCACCACTGCCCGGCAAGAATGTCTTTTCACCAAGCTTTGTACTTTTAAAATTAGCAACCCACAGAAAAGTTGGTGGCATAACATAGCAAGTATTACACTGCCATCAACAGCTGTCTCAGTCTTTGGGGGCTTGGATTATAAGCAAGTCCTCATACACAACCCTAGATCTGGTAGTCACCTCTCTTGTTCAGAACGTGCTTTTCCTCCTGTGCCATATCCCAGCCCTGCCCTTCAGAGTTAATTGAAGGCACCTTGTTAAATTCAGGTGAGTCTCACCCTCTGACTCCTTCTGTCCCCACAGTATAGTTTCCTATTTCTATGTGTTTATAAACGCGTTGATATCAGTTATACCAGATTTGGGTTCCTGGGTTTGATTTGCTCTAGATGCTTTATATATGTGGTCATGTTTTCTCTGTTGGTACCTTTTTTGTGTAATTAAAGCTTTGGTTCAGAGCCATACCTAACTCCACTAATTTATTAATGATTCAAATGGATGAGGTTCTAATATTTTCTTTATTTTCCATCTATTATACTGGATATTTCCTTTAAGAAATCAATTATCAAGATGGTTTATTTTTCCATTTATGTAAGTTTTCACTCTTATTTTTGCTTCTTTGGTATCTATTTCATCTATTACCGGTGACCAATTTATGTCTGTGTGTGCTTATAAAAATCGTCTCTTAAACCATAAATTCATACATGTTTAATGATACCCTGAGAAAATATCTCCGGGCTTCTCTAATGTATTTTTTGCTCAAGACTTAAAAGTGTCTCTATTTGCAAGCATCCTTAGTCCCATGAAGTAGACATCTCTCCCTTGACCACGGTGCTGGGAGTGTTCAGTTCTCTGGGCTGGTTCTCACTTGGGAGCCCTGTTCAGGAGAGATATAGGGTTTTATCTTCTTTTCTTTCATGCTGAGAAGCACAGTTCTTTGGAAATGGCAGCTGACAGTGTGTGTACTGTCAAAAACACCCTTGCTTGTTTATTCAGCATTAATACGTAACATTATGAGAATGCCTGAGCTGGCCGCATTCTGTGTGAGCACTTTAGAATGATTTAAACTTCATTCGTCCAGCCATCTATGCCCTTCTCTATGTCCCAAGCGGGACTTGATACAGTAGAGCTCTCAACTGTAGCTTTTAAAGGGAGATTCTCTGCATGGTTGGGTTCATTTGCTTTGGTTTTGGTTTATTCTCAATATTTAAAGTTTACTTTTTTTAAAAAAAAAATTATTTTCTAAGAGTATGAGATAGTTGTATGACCCAAAAGGCAAATATAAATCAAAGTAAAATAATTCTAGCTTCTATCTTTGACCGACCTACCCTGTTTAGGCCCTTCTTTTAAATTGCCCTTTGGATTTATTTATTTTAAAATATTTGTACACTTTTGTGGTGAGTGTTTTGTTTACATGAATGTATGTGCACCATGGGTTTGCCTGGTGCTCACACAGGTCAGAAAGACGGTGTCAGATCCCCTGCAGCTGGAGTTACAGATGACTGTGAACCAGCATGCGGGTTCTGGGAACCAAATCTGCATTCATAGCAAGAGCACCAAGTACTTAGAGAGCTTTTGTTATTTTACTATTCTGTTTTATCTGTTTCCCTAAAAATATTTGCCCAGTGCTCATGTTTTTCTCTGTCTTGGTTCTATTTTATTTTATTGTCTTAACTTTTTCAGGGCTCCTAACATAACAATGCAAAGACATCCTTTCCATTTCTTTTCCTGAATGTGCTCTTCTCTACTGTAAGGCTGTATCCTGATATATTGAAGCAGCTCTTAGTGACAGAGATCTGGTTATTTCTAAACTTTCTCATAAATGTTAAGGGATCTGTTTCCAAGGCTTCGTGGGGAAAGTAGAGGAGATTTGAAACTTCGGCATGCAGTAATGATCCCACTGCCATCCTCCCTAAAGTGAGGAGAGCTCTCAGTGTGGCAGAGTCCTCCTCACTGAAGATAGAAAGCCTTGAAGCTACCAGAAGGGAGACTCTAATTAAATAAAATAAAGGTGTTAGTGTTTTTAAGTTGTCACTCAGAACAATGAAATAAAATATGGTTAATCTCCATTCGAGAGTTTTAGAAACAACATCTCTCATTTGTTTATTTTTTTCTACCCACTTAATTTGTATTTGACTCCTTTCCTGATGGCGCTCCTGCTGTGGGGGAGTTATGTAATACATCTTCTTTATCCACCTGCTGCTGTTTCATGCTTACCTGGGAAAGTCTCATCTGTCTTCTGAGAGCTCACTTTTCAGCCTAGTTTTGCTGGACTCTGAACTCTGTCTGTCAAATGTTTGAAAGTGTCTTTTCGGTGATCAGTATCATACCTGTGGCACTGTCAATCATCTCTGCATCTGGTTTTCACCTGCATCCAGCTGTTCATCTCTACAAGCATGGTATAGAAATGCCGTCTATGCATGGGCATGCAGTATAGGTCCCACATGTCCTTAACCTGGTTGACGAAGTGACTATTGGCTGGTGCCACGCTAAGCAGATATCTGAACAGATAGAACCTTAAGTTCCAATTTGTCTCTACACTTCTCTTCCCCTGCAAGTAAACAGGCTTTACGTAACAAGCTGCTGTCTGGTGACCTCATTTCTCACTCTCTTCCCTTTTCAGGCAGCACTAGGCAGCAGTCTTTGTAAATTCTTTATGGGCTCACAGTGGACTCACATTTCTTCTTGTAACATTTGCCGATCACATTTAATATCAGGGTGCAGCCCTCTGAAAACTCAGCTACCTGTCCAGCAATGATACTTGTCGCTCATTCCTCAAATGATCTTTGCAAGATAGATAATAGTTTTTAAATGTGTAAATAAGTTAGATGATGTAGCATGCTTGGGGCCAGCTCGATGAGCACTCTCTGCTCTTGATTTCCAGCTGGAAGCGGGAGTGGGAGTGGTTGACGAGAAACAGAGTCAAGTTTGGTGTTATTGCTAAAGTCTAAGACATTCCCACCACCTGCCATGCTACAAAGCCTGCAAAAGAAGGGTCCCGCTGGGGAGAACTACATCACCAATTTATGTTGTCCAGAAGCCCTAACAAACTTATGCATTCTCGAAATGTTTTCTTCTTTTTCTTTTTTAAAAATGACATTATTAAAAAAATAACATTATTCCAAAGGTAAAGGCACTTTACTCTTACTGAAACTCCACTGTTTCCTCTTAACCAAGGAACTGAATCATTCAGTCTATGACTACTACTACTACACACACACACACACACACACACACAAACACACAAACAAAATGACAGGAAACTTCATAAATATTTAAAACAGCTGCTATGAATTAAACATTGGGATAAAGAGCCAACTCTTTTATTAAGCACAATGTTTAAATAAATAAATAAGCAAGCCTGTGACATATATTGCCAGGTAAATGAAATGTTTATACTAATAACATTTCAGGTTTCTCTAAACATTTACCTTGGGTAATACTTTTATGTAATTATATTACATGGCTTATTAGATTCAAAGCAAGTGATTTTAGTGAAACACTTGACCTGTTGTTTTTTTTTAAACGTGTAAATGGGTAGATAGATTTGGTTCAGCTGGTCTGAAAGCAAAGTCATTAACAGAAGCACAGAGCCGGGTGTAAGAAAAATGGGGTGTGCTTTTTGTGGGTGCTGATGTGGCTCAGGGACAGGTGTTTGCCCCACACTGCATTTAACAAATGAAAACTTAGGGACTATGACAGATCATCAGGGAATGCGGAGCATGACAGTCGTGAATGCAGGGTACAGGGGCACACAGCTAAAATCCTAGTCCTCGGCAGGTGGAGGCAGGGGGATTTTGAATGTGTGTTCTGTCTGGGCTGCAAGGAGATCCTGTCTCAAACCAAACAAACAAAAACCAACAGAAGAACAACACTGGTGAAGTAGCTTCACTGTGGTCATCCTGTCTGGGTGTGTCTGCTTTCCTTCACTAGACTGGCAGAGCACCTTAAGCATGCTATGCCAAAGACTGGGCCCGGAGAAGTGATGAGGATGCAGCCCTGCTCTTGAGTGGCTCGCTTCATCAGCTTAGACCATCCTTACATGCCTGGTGGATGAGGAGGTAGAACAGAACAGCAGTGTTGCCTGTTAGGGCAGTCAGAGGATGATGTCATCATTTATATGGCCATGCTCAAATCTTCCTAAAAGTCTGTTCCCCACCTAGAACATGCCCCATTCTTACTCTAGTGAAACGTTTTGCAGAACATAGTGAGATACCATTTAACAAACATGAGTATTAATCTAAGTTTTCCCCCCGTCTGGCCATAACATGCAGGGAAAAGCAAACAAACAAATAACAAACATTTAAAAATGATTTTTAAAATTCACTAAAAAAAAAAAAAATGGAGTAATAGATTAGGCATGGTGGCATGGATCTGCATCTCAGCAGTTTGATGGAAAAGGCCAGGGCAACCAGAAGTTAAAGGCCAGTCTTGGCTTTATGAGAAATTTGAAGACAGCTTTGGCTGTCTTTGAAAGATCATGTCTCAAAAATCCCATATATTTGGTACAAATATATGCTGTGTGTGTGTGTGTGTGTGTATGTGTGTGTGTATACATATGTACTTAATACTTTCTGAATGCTTACATGTGTCACTCTAGCTGTAAGACTGGGTGGTAGGATCTGTCATATTTCTACATTTGACAAATGAAGGAATAAGGAATTACATGTTTTCTCTCCCCCCCCCTCTCTTTTTCCTCCTACCTCACTCCATTACCCCCAGTATATCCACGCCCCTTCCATCCGTCTGTCCCTCCTTTCCTTTCTCCCCTCCTGTTTCCTGGCCACTAGGAGATGAGTTTGACCGCCATGTTTTCCCTCTCTATTGCCATGGAATAAAATCATGAGCTAAATAAATGTTCTCCCTTAAGTTATATTTTTCAAACAATTTGCGACAGAGATGAAACCCTAACCCATCCAATGGGAACGGAAACAGGACACACCCTCTACACCCTCTACACCCCAGTTCCCACTGAATGAATACTTAAAATGTTCTTAGATTCCACCTTCTCTGATGCCATTACTGTTCTATTTAATATTCTCAGAGGAAAAGAATGTACTGCCAGGTCAGAAAGACACTTTTTCTTTTTTGGTGGACCCTTAAATCCTCTGGAGTTGAATGTACTTGAAAAGCTACCTGATCTCCAAAAGTTGCTGATATTAACAATTGTTCTATGTTCTACTAGGAAATGTTTGCTTAAACATTTATGGTCTCATAATTTTATTATGGTCTTAAGATTATTTAAGAATTCAAAAACTTCTGCATCCATTAATTAACCTATGGATATAGTATGTCCTGAAATCACTATGTAACCCACATTGGCCCCAAACTCACAGCAATCCTCCAGCCTTAGCCTTCTGAGTACTAGGATTAAAAATGTGTGCCACCATGTCTGGCACTCTGTGGATATTTATTATATCAGAAATTAAAATTTGACTGTGGGACTATATCTCAGTAATAGACTGCTGGGTGAACATAGGCTTCTTGCCAAGAATGAACAAGATGCTAGTTTGAATGTCAGTATGCAAAAACAACAACAACAAACAAAACAAAACAAAAAACCTTTTTGTTTGATTTCTAACACCAAAAAACTTCTTCAGTTAAAAAATTAAAATAATACATCATCATTAACTGTTACTGTCATGAATACTTTTTTAAAAACAGAAACAACTATTATTGCATTTTGTCTGTTGGAATATATCTGCCATTTTCTTCTGGAAAACTGTACACCCAGGAGAGAGTTGGAGTGACAAATAAAGAAAGTTTGTCTTACTGTATTATTAAAGTTAATTTTGGGTTTATAAGCTTGGCCTCTTGGGACTAACTGGTACCCACAATGGTCCCTTGACCACACTTGGAGAATGAATGCTTCAGAGGGAATCTGTTGACTGTCCTTAGCAACTCAATGAAGGAATTCAGGGCAACCCCTCCCCCCTCCTCCCCCCCAAATAAAACAAACCATGATATCAATATCATGGTCTTTTAATTAAACTACTAGAGAATGATCTTTTGTTGTTGTTGTTTTTTTTTTTTTTCAAAATGAACATAGACTTTTGTTTTTGTAAAAAGAACAGAAATTTTTTTATGATCATTATTTTATTTACTAAACTCAGTGGGACTGTAATTTGTATTAAATATGGTAAAGAAATTTGTTTTTTATTTTGTATCTTGTTTTCTTATATTTAATGTGTTTAGTGATAAAGGAGTGCTGAATCATTAAAAGAAAAAAATTTGAGGAAGGGGTGCAAAACAGCCAAGTCACTGCTTATAGACCTGTGACCCGGGGTAGCATCTTGTTCTGCATATGTCCAACAGTAAAGCAGTAATAATAGCAGACACAACAGTAGTTAGTTGTATTGACAGTTAAAATCTCACAGCAACACCCTGAATGTGAGGACCTTGTCTTTCTCCTTTCCCTCTTTCTCTTTCTCATCCTAATTAACAGAAAGAGCAGTTCCTTAGTTACCCAATCCTATAGCTAGTCAATAACTGGACAATTGATGACCTTCTGTCTCTAAAGTCCAGCCTCTCTCACTCTAATGGTGGCTAGCTTTTCTTTGTCGATCTTCTGGTTCTTAACAACAATTAAGAGCCCATCATCCACGTTGAGGATACCTGGAACATCCTAAGTTCATCCTCAAGGACACAACTCTTCTTTCTCTTCCTTCTATTTATTTTTGTCTAACCTCTCTTCTTTGAGCATGTCTTTATGTTCCCTGCCTGACACCTGAGTATCATTTCTTGCCATAGTTAGAATGCTTTCTCCTTTAATTACAAAAGGGACAAGAAGGGATAGATGCTGATAACTTTTATTATTTTAATTAATTCATTATTATTATTTTTTTTAGAGTTTCAGACTGCCAAAAGATAAAACAGGTACAACGAGGATTGGAGACTTGGCACCCCAAGACATGAAAAAAGTTTGCTATCTATCTCTGATTGAACTCACTGCCCTGTATGATGTGTTGGGCATAGAACTCAAACAACAGAAGGCTGTGAAAATCAAAACCAGAGGTAAAGTTAGAGTTGCTTCCTACATAGCAAAAATGGACTTGGGTCTTGGGTGCTATGTTTGCTGTTTCAATGGAACACCAACCAAATAAATTTGAGACTTGAGTATTTCTGGAGTTCAAACAGAAAACATACAACCAAAAAAAAAAAAAAAAAAACATTAATTCCCAGAAAAGAGAATTGCAATTCAAGGAATTACCATGTATATCTTTTCTTCTTTAGAAAACTTTATGCTTGAGAAAGAAGTTTTTGGTGATTCTTTTTATTTTCAAAACCAAATCTTAGAAAATGGCTTTCAAGGGCATGCTCTTGAATGGCTACTTTTGTTATTCTGTGATGAATCACATTCCCTGTGTTCAATCACGTTCTATTTTTAAATGGAAGTTTAGCTTCTTGTTTTTCTGTGCTTATAATGTGCACGTGGGCATGCTGGCACTGAGTGTGTGTCTGGAGGTAAGAGAATAATTCTAGTGAGTCAGTTCTCCTTCCACTGTGGGTTCCAGAGATCGAACTCTGGGTTCCTGGCTTGTACAGCAAGCCCTTTGACCTGATGAGCATTGACCCTACGCTCAATTGTTTAAAAGTTTTTGACCAAACGTTCTTCTCTGTGTAGACAAAGCAATTGTGAGATGAAGTGCAGCACATTGTTTTTATTCTTCATGTGCCATCTCCATTTTGCAAGCAGCTTTCTTAATCTAATATAGCCACAGACTAATTCTGATAACACGATAGAGTGCAGACACCTTTAGTCTTTGTTTCCTTTCTTTCCTTGGTCTGGAAATCCAGGTAATTTTCTACTGACAAAGCTTCTTCTGTTTAGGAATCTCTGCTCTCTAGTTTTAACCTTACAGGTGTCTCCTAAAGAGCCACTGGGAATGAGGATTATTAAGTTGCTATGGTAACATGAGCCAATACAAGAATGTACCTGCTTTAAGTTGTAGAGAGAGTTTCTCTGAAGGGAAGAAGTGTAGCTTTCTTGTCTTTCCTGTGTGTCTCTGTCCGGAGAGAACATAAAGCCTCTGTTCTCTGCTCAGTTCTCTTGGGTATTTTAGCTTAAGCTTTGCAGTGGTGAATTTCTAAGGTCAGTGGCTCTTCTGGTTTCCCCCAAGTCCGTGTGAAGTCTGAAGACTTGAGATGCGTCTGTCAAAACTCATGACGCGTTCTCCAATTATAAAATAAAAATATAGTTTGAATATCTATGACTGCATGCCCAAGATTTTAAAGAGGTATCTTATTGTTGTTTGTTTAATTTTCTTATATGTTTTGGTTTTCTTATATGTTGGAGAGAGAAATGTTAAAATGTTTTTAAAAATCTGACACCCTTTAAATGAAAACCCAGGAAATTTGTAGTTTTTAAGAATACATATAATGCTCATCTAAGATACTTAGACCCTGGGTGCTTTGAGTCCTTGAAAATAGTTCTCTGCTTGATGATCAGACCGAAAGGCAACCTATTATATCTCAAATGGCTTCTCCATGTCCGGTGTCTGCCCTCATACCACAGGTGAGCCCCTTCTTCCTTTCTCCTGCCCATAGATGAATGTTATTTCTTCATTGTGTCATTCCTAATGGACAGAGCTCTCACATTAATTAATTCTCAGTCCAGAGGAAGGTTGTAGGTAGGAGTTATGTTCACTTAAAACTTAAGGCAAAAAAGATGAGTTTAGAAAATGTATAAATATTACCCATCTTTACACACACGCGTGCGCACGCACACACACAGGGTTGGGGGAGAAGGGAGAGACTTAGTCTGTGCTCAAAGAATTTAAATGTAACAATGCTAGATACCGACAACATTTTTGGAAGACACATTTATAGAACAGGATTGTAAAATTAGCTGAATTCTCAAAAAGCAAATAATTATATGTAACCGTATTAGGGAGTGTTCAATGTCCATTCAGTAAAGGGAGATATTGATAACTGGTGTTTGATTATACACCGACAATTTTAATTTGACTGCACCTCATCGAGTGTTTGAATAGTTTACATGTCCTGACAGTAGTCTGTTTGTCTTATGCATCAGTTTGCTGTTTCTAATTACTACAATGACTCTGCAATCACTTGTTCAGATACCTATCCCTGGAGGATTGTTTTAGAGAATAGAGCCATGATTTGGCTGTTTTGGCCCATGTCTACCCAGTGGCTTCATGGTGTTACCCCTTAGTATAATAATCTGATCAATAAATGACGATGTAAGAAATTTCACATTTTCAGTCTTTATTACTGTTCTATAGGTTCATGGAAGTGAAGAGCTTTTGTTTTCTTGTTGCAGACTCTGGTCTTTTTGGTATTCCTTTAACTATACTGTTAGAACAAGATCAAAGAAAAGTGCCTGGAACTCGAATACCCTTGATCTTTCAAAAAGTAAGTAGGCCTGAACTGGCTGGCCAGGGCAACGAGAACATTCCTAGGCTAATAATGGCATTTTACACTCAGGCTGTTATGATACAGTTTTCCCATTGGTAAGCTGTTTTATTTTATACTTTGAGTTCTATTCAGGAAGCAAATTTCTTTCAAGGGCTCATAACTTTTATCTCATGGTGATGCTTTCTGTGATATCACTGTAACTATGATTACCTGGCATCATTTTCCTGTCCTGTATTAGCTGCCTTTGTGTAATTGAGATTTCAGTTCTATAATACATAGGAGCAGGAACTGTGGATAAATTCCTAGGGAATTGAATCCTCATGAATATTTCATGTGTGTATGTATTTCTCAAGGTTTCCGATTTGCAGTAGGCATGTCCAACTTAATTTACCAGCGCCTACGTGCAGAGTAGGCAAAGAAACCATAAAGAAGAATTAGAAAATGATTGCTAAACTATCAAGCTGTTTGTGGACTCACCACTCAGTTACTCATAAAAGGATTATCTGTTGCAATAAAAAGAATTTCAGCTCAACGTCTGAGCCATCATTGTGCAGAACAGATTACGTTTGATAACATCTAAGAAAACACAGGAAGGAAGGAAGGCCAAATAGTCATGGACTATCCAAGCTCTAGATACTGGGCACAAGCCTCAGCATATAGGTTTCTGTAATTTCTAGGGACACTAGAGATGTTTTTGAGTTGCATGACTCAGCCAATCGTAAGGCTCAGTCTATTTGGTACTCACTGTTCTGTTCCCTGTCAGTTACTACCCATGTTAACCACTTGCTATCCCACTCCTCGTGCCCTTTATCCATTGTTTTTGTTATGTTGATAGGATGGAGTTACTACACAAAGATGGATTCTAAAGCAGTATCTCTACAGTATTTGCTTCAGGTTAAATCCTGCAAAAATAAATAGAAGTCTATGTCTCTATACCTATTTGTATCTTGTATCTAACATGTCTTTTGATGAGTATTCTGTAGAGTTGTTCTATCATGGCTTGTTGAATCTGGATCTGTATTAATAGTTCATAACAGTTATTCAGATAAGATAAAGAATGGAGACTATATATTCCATTGCTTTTTTAATGTTGAAAATGGAGTCACTATAAAAATATAGATTCTAAAGCTATATCTCTGCAGTATTTTCCTTAGGTCAAGTCTTCTAGAATCAATAGAATCTATACTTACAGCTATACCCATGTCTCTGTCTATACCTATATCTATGTGGAAAGGTTTCTTTTAATGATTTTATTCATGCAGTTAATGGGGTCCAGCAAATCTGATCTATGTGGAACAAGATACCATGAGAGCCACTTGAGCAAGAGTTGATGCTGCAGTCCTGAGGAAGGAAGTCTGTTTGCAAACCTCTGGCTTTACTTTTGCATCTTCACCTGATGGGAGAAGGTTCACTATCCCACAGAGGGTGACCTGCATGCCTTAAACCCTGTGATTTATATGTTGGTCACTTCTAAACAGATATTGTCACTAAAGCCTCTAGACTAGTGTTTGACTGAACCTCTGTGCACTACAGTGCTAACCAGGGTGGCATACATAGCTTCTCATAACATGGAGAAGTCTATTGAACTTAGGTTCATATTAGGTTCAGTGAAGCTTCAGTCTGTATCCAGGAGCCCGATACTGTTCATGGTCTCTCGCAAAAAAAAAAAAAAAAAATTCTTTTCTCAATTTTTTTTATTCTATTTAGTTAATTAGTTAGTTAGTTAGTTTACAATTTTTTAAGACTTTAGAGACTGGCTGTCTACTATTTTGAATTAGTATTTCAGTTTTGTTCATATTAAAAATAAAGGGGCTATTAAAGAGTTGACTGTAAGGTAGCTTTCACCAGTTTCCATTTGCTTTGTGTTTTAATAAATAAACCAGAGTGATGTGCTGTGAGAAGCATCTTTTGATTATTGGCCCACAACTCATTGTTTGCCCTTCAACTTTGTAAAAGAGGGTAGGGAGAGGAAACACCTGATTTTCAGAAACAGTTCGCTCCCTGACTCCAGAGTGTTCATCATTCAGGTTGAAGGGACAATGTTCATTAGGTAACACTAACCAAAGCTTGTCTCCTAACAGTTCACCTTTTACTTTTCTTGCTCTGCCTTTTCCTTTTCTTCTTTGTCCCTCAGAGGCAAGCAATGGTTTGTCTTAACTGTCAACAGTGGTTCATTTTTTAGAAGAAAAATGTTCACTTTATGTAAAAAGTGCATTTTCTGATCAAATTTTCAAATCCAATATCTTTGTTGTCCCAACAATCCCCCAAGTCAGTGTTGTGCCAAAAAAGACTGATTTTATTTCCATTTTATAATTCAACACACACACACACACACACACACACACACACACACACACACACAATTTGAGAAATATTGTGGAGCACCAAATATGAACCAGCAAAGTTTCGCCAAATAGCACAATTACATCTAGTTATTTTTGTTTATTTTAGTTCTGAAAAACTAAAAGAAAGCTGGACTATGTTTCCTGTTAATATAAAAGCTAATAATATAGCTAATTAACAATGTAGCTAAGATATGTGATTTTCAAAATGAGAAACAGGAGAAACACATGGATGGGATCCAGCACTAGAGACCACTAGGAAAAGATTCAAATATAGAATGCAGAAATGGATCTCAATTAGCTGTCTTGAAGCTTGTAATTTTCTTTTGTACTTAATGAAAGTAAAAAGTGTAGATGGCTAAAACCTAATTGACTTCAGCAACCTGCATTCCATTGGATGTTTTAATAAGGCATGCAAATACTTTATAAGGAAAAATAAAATGAAAATTGGTCGTACATGGAACATTTTATTATCTGGTATGAAATACTTTATTGAATGATGTCCTTCTAATCTCAAATAATTCGTAATTATTTTTACTTTGAGTTCCTCTGCAGTGGTACTTGAAAAATGTGGTCTAGGAAAATTTGAATTTTAAAAATTGATATACTTCTTTGACTGGCCAGTGATGCCTCACCCAATAATGTATTCTTAGGAGAATTTGAGACTCTGAATCTCTCTGTATCAGTGGGTTTCCTGGTCAAAATTGATTCCCTGGCTAGGGCAAAATCAGTGGTTAGGGAAAAGTCACCAACACTTTAGGATCCACATGCTGAGTTTGGTATACCTGATTTGAAACCTGTAGGACAGAGGTCCAGAAGCGAGGCCACGGCATGCTAGGCACTGTTCCTAACAGACAGACTCTTATGTGAAAGGGGAAATAGTGAGCTCTGTGTGGTCTGTGGAGTGTGATGCATCATTAACAGAGGGTCTCCTGAAGAAAACATTCTTTTTCAAATACTTTTTTGCACCTGGGGGATTTCTTGACCAAGGTGTGCAGAGGACATTTAACTAAGATTGGAGGTGCAGGGATGCCATGTCTGGGTTTCATAAAGCAGAAGACTTTTGAGAAAGGGGGATGGGCTGCAGGAAAGAAGCACCTACTGCTAGTAATTGCCTTGTATTCATGAGGAGGAGGTGGAAAGTGATTTCCCTATGTCTGCAGAGGATGCTCTGTCCTTTGTAAGCTCCACCATGTAATGTCCAAGGGATGTGAGACCCAAGTTTCCCAACTGGAAGCTCCCTGACACGGGGCACACCCTCATCTTCTTCACAGCTTTTTAACAAAAATTTGCTTCTGTAATATTCCCTATTAGACTGATTTTATATAGTTTTTAATATTTATTCAGTTTTAAAATGATGTGTATTTGCATGTGGGTATGTGCATCTGAATACAGATGTCTGCAAAGAACAAAGACATGCAGATCCCCCTTCACCTGGAGTTACAGGCAATTGTGAAGCAACTATACAGTAGCTGAGATCTGAATTTGAGTCCTCTGAAAGAGCAGTACATACTCTTAACCACTGAGCCATTTCTACAGCCCCATGGCTGCTACAGTTTCATTTTATTTTGGTGGAATCATTGAGCTAGGTTCGTGCTCTTTCATTGGGTGTTAGTATTACTTAGAAGCCCTCTTTGAAAGCATTTTTCTTTAAGCTTGCCACCAGAAGCTTAGAATGAATATCAGCAACAGGTTTTTTTTTTTCATTTAAAAATATTGTTTCCTGAAACAAATTAAATACAGTACATAAGTGTGCAAATACTGGAATTGTATGACATTTATTTGATTGCACAATGCATGTTGCTGGAAAAGCAGACTAGTGTTCTGAGTTGCTTTTACACAGTGAACATCTTTTCTCTGATCCTGTGGAGAGCCCCAGCTGTCGTGTGAAATTATACATTTCTTTTACAAAGGAGAAAAAGACAAACCTTTTCAAATTACAACTCAGGTTTTTGTATGTATAGTTTTGAAGATGCTGGTCCCATACCACTCACAACCTCATTCAATCCAGTGTGCATGCCATCGGAGTCAGCTTTCGCTTAGTGCAATGGGGGACAGATGTTAAACTGTACCTGTTAACAAAGACCAAGATCAACATGTTTCTTGGCTTATCCGCAGCTGATTTCTCGCATTGAAGAAGGCGGTCTGGAAACTGAGGGCCTCCTACGGATACCAGGAGCAGCCATGAGAATCAAGGTAATTGGAACGCTTCAGTTCTGTTAATGTGCAATTTTATTGCTTAATTATGCTTGTGAATTTTAAAGGGCAACTTAGCCTCCCCACCCCTTATTCTTGTTAGCAGAGGTGATAAAATAAAACAATAACATGTCTGAACATTCAGTTTATTGTTTCTCTACAAACTCTTTCTGATTTGCTATAAGTTTTTATTTTTCCAAATCCCCACATCACCAATTATAATCCTGAGAGAGTAAGAATACATTATGACTCAGAGGTAGTAGGGAGCTGGGTGAGAAGTATAGGCAGGATGAGTAACATCAATTGAGTTTTGATTTTCAAAGGAAAGGGAGCATAGCACTTCAGGTGGGAGCAGATGAAGGCTCTTGACAAGAGCCACACAGTTGATGACCTTGACAGAAGAAACAGCTATGAGTAATTTCTACAAAGGGCAGTTAAGTGGATTCAACTGTGTCAACTGGTCCACCCACTCTGTTTTCATAGGCCGGATCATGCTGCAGCCAGCCCCTTGTAAATGATTGACAGGTCATAGTTGGTCTCCCTGTGCCACTGACTGTTTTATACTCCTCTTTCTTGCCTCTTTCCCTCATTTAGTGTTCATCTTTCTCTCTTCATTTCTTCTTTCTCCATTTTTTCTCCTCTTTTCCTTTTTCTTTCCTCCCTCACTTCTCTTTGACTCTACCCCCAATTTCTGAGGTATCATCCATGTTTCTCACCAATTACCAAAACAAATTAGGATATATATATGATTTTGTTAGGAGAAAACATGGTAAGTTTACTTTTTCTGGAGAAGATGGAGCTCAGTAGTGGAGCACTTTCCTAGCATAAAGAGGCATAGGTTCCACCCCCAGCACCATAGCAAAATAAATCAAAACAAAACCCACAAACCATGCTTTGAGAAAGTGGCTCCAGTAATAGAAACTTGGAAGTATTTTTGACATAATTGGTCTTATGCCCCATTAAAAATAAATCTTGAAAAATAGAACTCACAAACTAACTTGACTTAGTAGCAGCAGTAGTAGAAGGTTTGGCACTTCTCATAGTGACGTGAAGGACCTCAGCTTCCTCGTTCTGCATGGACTGGCAGTGTGAACTTGAGCTGGCAGCAGAACAGTGGTACAGGGAATGCAGGTATCTTTATATATTTTTTGACTCCTCAACCAGAGGATTTGGCTTTACATTTCTCAGAGATAACAAATTAGAGGTAACGACTGTGTAAGATTTGGATTTGTGTGTTTTGTTATGTAATATGCCTCTAAATAGCTTTTAAAAACATTTGTCTTGAATTGTAAATGTTGTTTTTTTTTAAAATGACAAATGGTAGCATCTAGGTTACATGCTGAGGGGAAAGTGATTTTAACTGATGTTTTAATTAAACCTTAGCTAATTAAAATGTTTAAATTTTTTTCTTAACCTTGGGTGTAATTTCTTCACGTAAAGGACAGTCAGAGTTGAGAGTGGCGTTTTTTGTGTGTAACAGAAAAACATTGACATTTACTATTTATTATTACTCTTTACAGATTAGAAATCTTGTGAGGTGAAAAACATTTCACACTCTCAATAGGGAACAAATGTGCTTACTGATAATTTCTCTCTCCCTTTGTGTCATTCAGAATCTTTGCCAAGAACTAGAAGTGAAGTTTTATGAGGGGACTTTCAACTGGGAAAGTGTCAAGCAGCATGATGCTGCCAGCCTGCTGAAGCTCTTTCTGAGAGAGCTGCCCCAGCCACTGCTGACCATGGAGTATCTCAAAGCCTTCCAGGCTGTCCAGAGTAAGTGGTTTCTACCTGGAAGTAGCCTGGGAGTGAGTTCCACCCACATTAATTGTCTCAGTGACAACTGTCATCGTAAGGTATCACGCTACCAGACGTGCTTTGCTTAGACATGTTGATTCACGGATGTCAAGGGTTGCACAGATGCCACATACTACTTTCCTTTCATTCATATACGTGTCTAAGTAAACATAACAGTATATTATCTTCAGGTAAAGATTAGTCGTGTGCCCCTTTAAGAACACAATATATCTAGAGTTAAGACCTGGAAACTTCCAGTTTCTCCCTTAATGGCATGAGTCATATAGATCTCTGTTGTGTTTCTCTTGCCAAGTGTTGAAAACAACACACAGTGGAGAAGCTATAGATTAGTACTTACTATAAAAACACAAAGAGATTTTGTATCTATGTCTATTTCCAGAGAATGTAAATCTGGAATTCTATAGGAGGATGGGACCCTAGTGCTTTGTTGCCTCATTAGTAAAAGGCTGCAAAATTCTGGTGTTTGTCCATTTTCTGGTTCTGGAAAACTCCAAAGTAAAATAAATAATAAATCTTGATACCTTTCCAGGGAAGGAATATGGAGATCTTACTAGGTTTATATAGTGATGTGGTTGCCTCATTTACTCTTAGGGGCCACCAGGATAGGAAACGGTACAGTAATGATATTCAAGTAATTTTATCTTTAACTTCCAAACTAGAACACTTTGTGAGTGAATGAGATCGTTATTAACAATGACAGAGAGATATAGTGCCCACTAGCACCATCACATGCTATATGTTAGGTGTGCAATTTTGGGTTAAGTGTCTAAGTTATCTTATAACTTTTGCCCTCAAAATATCTAAAGAAGATACAAACACTGCTATTTAAAGTACTTGTTTAGTTTCTTCTTTAAGAAAAAAAAAAGCAACCAAAAAAACCCCCCAAAACAAAATCCACAAAAAACCCCACACCTTTTGTTAAAAATATTTTTAATGATTAATTTCCATTATTTAGAATGCATATCCTGGATATATGTTGTTGCTGGCCGACAAAGTGGTCCTGATGAGATTTTAAATCTCTGGATATTAGGCACCAAAGATAATGGCGTAAACTTCCTGGAACCTTCGCTTGCTGTTTGGTTTCTCATTTGTGCCATACGCATTTATTGGGCCCTTACTGTGTTCCAGGCCCTGACTTGCCTATGCCTATCAAAATGGATAGACTCTCCTCTTGTGTTTTGTTCCCTTGACATTTAAAAGAAACAAACTTCAGTGCTCAGGAAGCCCTGTGAGTAGCATCTCATGGGCAGTCTGATCTTCTCTATGTTTTCATTGGAGGGTAATTACCACATGGAAGTTAGAATTATTTCCAAATCACTGTTGTATGTCTGCAAACATAGGGCCGCTCGTCATGTAATCACAGTTGGAAGCTAGCATCCTAGGACTGAGGGTGCTCTGAGCAGCTGCTTGCTCTGATCTCTAGCAAACGCTCCCGGTGAGGCTGGCTGCTCAGTCATCGTGTCTAGCTTTTCACCGGAATGTTTACACCAAATAACTTTGTTTTTCCCCTTTAAAAATGGAAAAAAAAAAAAGAAAGGAAAGTGTTCCCTAAAGTTTTCATATTTTCTTTGATCTATCTACAGATCTTCCAACCAAAAAGGAACAATTGCAGGCTTTGAACCTCCTTGTCATCCTTCTACCTGATGCAAACCGAGACACACTGAAGGTCAGCTTCTGAGTTTACACTAAACATCCCTTTGATTTCTCTTTATTTGTGGAAAAACAGTATGGTGCTTATTTTGGAAATAGCAATTTTCATCTGAAATGGAAAAGAATGTTTTTAAGGGCCGACACTGAGAGGTCGCCTTTCACTTAATTTGCTTGGTTGCTAATTTTATCAATGTTACTAAGGGTTTTTAAGAGGATTGATTTTTACGTGTATGTGTGTGAGGGCTTATTTATGTGCATGTATGTGTGCATGTGTTTAATCTGTCTGTCTTCTTGTCTGCTTCAGTGTATGTGCAGGTGCCTGTAGTAGCTAGAGTAGTAGCTAGAAGAAGGCTTGAGAGTTCCTGGACCTGGAGGTCTATGTGCTTTTGAGCCTCCCCATGTTGGTCCCCTGCAATAAGAAATGCTTTGTGCCACTTAGCCAACTCTCCAGCACCCAGGTTGTTTTGCAGCATTTGTAATATTTTAATCTCAGCACACAGGAGGCTAAGAAAGGAAAGTGTCAAGTTTGAGGCCAGCCTTGGCACATATACATAGTGAGGCCCTGACTTCAAAAATAAAATGAAAGTTTATCATGTAGTCATAGGGTTTAATTATAAACAAACAAACAAAAAAGATAGTAAAAAATTCAGAAGCTGTGTTAATCTGATTGTATAATTAGGTTGACTTTGTGTGGATGGAGTGTGTGTGTGTGTGTGTGTGTGTGTGTGGTGACTTTGCCTTTTTGTCTTCCACATTTCTTTCTGTTTAAAATGAATTTTCACATGAAGAAATTTTGTTTTAAGGAACCAAACCCACCAGTTGTTAAGTCTTGAAACTTTTTTTTTCTGCAACTCGTTAAAATTCCCTAATGGTTGGGGCTGTGGCATGGTCAATAGAGTGCTTACTTAGCATATAACCTTATATAGCAAGTGTATCCAAGGTCCTTCATACACCAAGAGCACACATGGCCACATGTCTATAATCTTAGCACTCAATATCAAGAGGGCCCCAAGCTATAAGGTCAACCTTAGCTAAGAAAAACATAATCTCCTGTCTCCAAAGGGGGGTGGGGAACCTGTACTGACTGTGACTTGAATGACAGCTTTTGACAGCTACAAGATGGATGGATTCTCTCCTCTACTTGACAAGGCACATTGTGAACACAACAGAAAACACAGAATGTCCACCACAGGAGAACTTCCAAAGACTTGCTCCTTCACTCAGAGGCAGATTCGTACTTCGGATTGTCAGTACAATTTCAGAAGGCATCTTTGGGTTTGGTTTTGAGACATGCCAACCCTAGAGCAATTTATTTGCAATTTGATAGCGAAACGGCTGTGTAGGAGTATGCAGACTATGGCTAATATTGGACGAGGATAAAGTTGGGCCAACCATGTTCTTGACAGAGTCTCCCAACACAGAAAGGGGAGGAACATGCTTTTCTCACATATTGAAGTGCTTGCTTTTGTGACAGGCCCATGAGAATGAGCTCAGTAAGGGAACCTGAAAGATCCATGAGTTCAAATCGACCCTTAGCTCTTAAGACCCGTTAGAGGAAGGGAATTCCATTGTGGTTGCTAGTGAGCAATGTGGGTCCAGAGCCTTTCTTTGGATTGGCCTTCCAAGTCTATATTCTTTTACTATTCTGCTTATACATGGTGTGTATATATGGATAGCTAAACACTATTGTGTGGTTTGGGTGAAAGGGTAAGTTTATGATTAAATATGAACATGCTATTTTGTGAAATTTTGAGATATAGTCTAGTAACTTTACTTATTTAGCTGGTGTTGATGAGACTTTCAAACAAGCCTATTAATAGAAGCGTCATTAAAGTGTGAGACAGACTGTATGTTTAACTCGGGGAAGCAAATGTGAGCTCCTTCTCCTTATCTGTTCCTTGCCCCACTCCTTAGGTTGCCATCTTATTTGTGAAAAAATCACCCAAGGGTGAAGCTGTGGGTTAGGTCAGGGTGGGGCAGTACATCCTGGTGGAGATGGACTATGACAGAAGCCATTGGGAAGACTACTTCATTTCAACCTTGCATTTTTCTCAGGTTTTCACCCATTGGATCAATGAGCTGTACTTATATTTGACTTGGAACAATAGAGATTTATTTATATGCACCAGGAAAGGGCCTATATTAATAGTAGTTGCCCACAGTTAGATCTTGTATAGTTGTAAGGTTTTTTTAAAGATTAATTTTTATTTTTTAAGTGTGTGTGTGTGTGTGTGTACAGGAATGCATGTATGCAGGGGCACATATATGTAGTACTTCTGGGGTTCAGAAGAGAGCATCAGAGCTGGAGTTCCAGGCAGCTATGAGCTGTCAACATGAACACTAGGAACTGAGCTCAGGTTTACAAGAACAGGAACTGCTCTTAAACACTAAGCCACCTGCCCAGCCTCCCCAAGCCCCTTTCAAAGATTTTAATTTTGTTTTTTTTTTCTTCTTTTTTTTTTAATGAGGGGGCATACATATGAGTATCTGCAGAGTCCAGAAGGGGGCTTGAGTTACAAGTGGCTGTGAGCCACCCTACACAGGTGCTGGGAATTGAACTCTGGTCCCTCCGCAAGAACACATTTCTTAACTGCTGAGCCATCGCTCTGCCTCTTTCTTTTGAACTTGATTTTATTTCATTTTAAAACTTGGTTATCTATGTTGTCACATTCCTTGAAGACTAGAAGGATAATATTCTCATTTTACATAGGACTAAATTTTTAAGGAGCTATTGAAAACAAACCGTTAAGTACTCATCGCTAAGGAGTAGCTACTGTCCTGGGCCTCAGGCCTCAAGTGTAGGTTTACAGGGAGTCAGACCTCTCACCGGGCTCTCAGTATTGTTTATAATGGCTTAAAACATTGCATTGCTCATATACATGAAACTACTGTCACTATTTCAAGGGCTGAGCCAACGTCTTACTAACTAACCTTTTTTTTTCCCTCCCCTTCCTCTTTCTTCCTTCCTCTCCCTGGCATTCCACTAGTATTATTTTGAACAATCTTATTGCATATGCACACCACAATTAAAATAATTATCTAATCTTTGTAATTTATGCTCATAAAGAAAGAGATACACTTGGTCCCTGAGAAAGCATTCTAGTCTCTGAGGAACAGAATTAAATATTTTTTCCTAAACTTCAATTAATCTTTTGTCCTCATTTGTGAACATGTTGCTTCAATACAACACGGTGCTTGGATTACAAGTTAGCTTTCTGAGCACTGTCGCAGATATTAGATACATAAATTTTGCTGTTAGGTCTTAAAGCCTTTGCCTTTAGCTCGATTCAAATGTCTGAGGTCTATACTGCAACTAAACGTGTCGCAGGTCATCCTCTTAGCATTAGAATCTAGTCTTTGTTTTTGTTTTAGGTTTTGGTTTCTGCTCTGAAATCTTGTAAAAAGGGCAGTATCATCTGTTTCCTTCCAAATTGGTCTAGCCTATTTAGGTTAGCTATCAAAATGTGGTTGTGTGCATAGTTAAGAGTCCAGAAACAGAAGTCATAGAGACCTGTAATTAAATTCCTCCTGCAGCTTTTCCTGGTCATGCACTCTTTAGTGATAACCTTTAAAACAGATGAATTTTCTCATGTGGACACTGGAGTGGCCATAGTGCCTATGATCTCTAACACATATCTAGCATGCTGCTGCCTAAGCTGCAAGCCTTAAATGCATGTGCAGCTAATGTTACTCTGGAGAAAATCAATTCAAAAGAAAAGGCAAAAAGAACCTCCCGCCCAGAGGTCCGGTTCATCAAGTCCATCAGTTTTTTACAACTTCTTCTTTTTTTTTTCTTTCCAGTCACAAAGCTCATTTTGTTTAGGTTTTGTACCAGCAGGCTCTGGAGTCTCCTAGTGCAAATGAAACCGAGGCGGAGGACGCTTGCTCAAGGACAGTCTATTCCTTCTTTCTTTTTCCTCCCCTTTATTTTCATTGTTTTTCCTATCATTTACCTCCTTCCTCTCTCCCTCCCCCTTCTTTCTTTTTTTCCTTCCCTCCCTCCTTCCTTGAGTTGAAATAATTACCACTTTCTGAAACCTGGGAATGTTTATATGCTATTTGAAACTGTTTTCTAGTGCTCTGCAGCTCCTTATAGGCTGAGGGCTGGATCTGCACACACACGTCTGTCTGCCATGCCCGACACACTCTCTGCCCTAACTGTCCAGTGCCATAGCCTCCTGAGAAGTATACACCATTTGGGGCTTTGTCAGTCTGTTTCAGGAGCTTTGCTGGCAGTCTGTTGGGTATAGATAGAGGATTGTGGTTATGCATAGCTCACATGCACAGGGCAAGTGTAGGTGCCTGTGTAGGGCAGAGGTCAAACTTGGGTGTTATTCTAAGGAGCTGAATACCTTGTTTTTTGAGAGATGGCCTCTCACTGACGTCTAAAGATCACTGGATTTCGCCAGGCAGGTTGTTGAATAAGCCTGTTTCTGCCTCTTCAAATACACTGATTAACCCAACTTTTTACATGGGTTTGAGGAACCGAACTCGGGTCTGCATGCTTGCATAGCCAGCACTTTACCATCTGAGCCCTCTGCTGCCCTGACTGCTTAGTTTTATTTATTTTTTTTGCATTTATTTATGTGTTTATGTGTGTGGGTGCATTGTGTTGGAACATATGTAAAGTTTACACAACAGCTTCTCTTAGTGGGTTATCTCCTTCTGTCACGTGGGTTCTGATGACTCACCTCAGGTTGACAGGCTTAAAGTCAAATCTTCTACCTTATGAGGTATATCACAAGTCAGATTCCCTTTAAATTTTTTCTTTCCTCACTAATTTTATTTTAAACCACACTTTTATTATTCAAAAGATTCTCTTTGATTCTTTGATAATTAAGATTATTAACTATTTTACTAATATTTTTATAATTCCTTACAATTTCTATGTTTTTTTTTATTTCAGCTCCTTAACTCCTCCCAGATCTACCTTCACCTCCCTACCCACCCAACTTTATGTCCTTTCCCCCCTCATTTAAGACCACTGAATCTGGTTTGTGTAGCCCACATACTCCTGGAAGTGAGACCAGTTCTGGATCTCCTCCTAGGTACTGTCAAACGCCAGAAGCTGATTTGTTAGACACGTGACATTGCACTCCTTCTACTTCTCCATGAGGGAGGTTTGACTGGCTTGTGCTTGCGGAGGTCTCACTCACTCTGTCATATGTACTGTGAGTTCATATGTGCAGCTCCATGGCTGTGGCCAGTAAACACTATTTTATTGTAGTCATCTGCCACCTGGCTTTTACAGTCTCTCCATCCCTCAGCCTTGAGCGGAAGGCCTGTGATATAGATACACAGAATTTAGGTCTCAACATTCTGTAGTCCCCTCTGCTCTACAACTTAGTCAGTTATGGGTCTCTGTTTTAATTGCCGATCTCAAGAATAAGCTTTTCAGATGAGGCTTAAGAGTGGTGCTAGTCTATGGAAATAGTAGTAAATCATGAAGAGTTGGTCTAATATGTTTTTCTTTTAGCACAATAATAGTAGTAGATTCTTCACTATGGTCTATGATCTGTGTAGCCACAGGGTCCTGTCCCAGATAATGGAGACAAGTGTAGTTTCCTTCTTGTGGGTAATCAGAAAGTGGTTGGTTGCTGCCATGGCATTTGTGCCACTAAGTACTCCAATGGGCACATCTGGCCAGGCTAGTCACTACTGTAGTTCACAGAGTTCACAGCTGGATAGAATTGATGTCTACCTTCCTCTTCTGGTTGCACATATAGCAGCGTCCAGCACCATGAAATCTAGCAGGTGCGGATGAAACTTTGAGGTCACTACTATCTTGATGTCTCTATGTGTGGTGTCTCAAGTGACACCACACGTGATTTCTCAAGTATGTGGTGTCTCAAGCAGTGTCTTTATGTTGTTAAATTCTAAAGGATAATCAAGAGCAATGGAAATAACTGTTGACCAACAACTCCAAAAGAGGTAGCTCATCCCTGATCCTGGGTACCCTGTGGTGGTTAGTAGGGATGCTGTCCTCTTCAAGGTAATTCCATTTAAACTCTGTATGTCAGGAATATATTCTAAGAAGCTTATATAATAGGCAGCTTCCATATGACTTTTTCAGAAGGCCTTTTAGAGTTAAATATGCTCAATTTTAAATGACTTAAAAATCCTGTATAATACAGCACCTTAACTGCCTAGCTCCATGTGTGACAGAAATCTTGGTCATCTTTTTTTTAGGCCTTGCTTGAATTTCTCCAAAGAGTCATAGATAACAAAGAGAAGAACAAGATGACAGCTGTGAATGTGGCAATGGTCATGGCCCCAAATCTCTTTATGTGCCACGCGCTGGGCTTGAAGTCCAGTGAACAACGAGAATTTGAAATGGCAGCTGGGACAGCAAATGTCATGCACTTATTGATTAGGTACCAGAAACTTCTATGGACAGTAAGTAAATGTTTTCAGCTTAATTTTTTATGTCAGTGTATGAAGTATTGGGTTTCTTAGTGACAGCTAAATGCATATGTGCCATTAGACTTTTTTGCCCTTACTGCCTACATTCCTTCTGGCAAATTCTCTTCCTACCCTCCAAGTGGTACTCTCTTTTTATCTTTTTATTATATGTTGTCCATAACCCTTTTCTCATATACTCTAGTATCTCTTTCTCTTCTCCCAACATCCCTTTCCTAAGACCCATGGGCACATGCACACATATTTGTATATACACAGCACTTTAGATCTAGGTGCTTGCCATTAGAAAAACATGAGGTGTTTGTTTTAAAATTGCAATAATGGTCATATAATTTCCTAGCATAATTGGTCATAGTAATCATGAAAATAACTTTATGAAGGTAACATTAAAAAGCAATATTCTCTTTTGTCTTAATGGCTTAAAACGACACTGTATGTGCATTTGTGAGTACAGAGGTAAGGAAGGCATTGTCAATTTCTAGTTTTAAAATCATAAATTAGGTCAAGAGAGTGTGCCTTTCACAGTCTTTCTTCTGTAGTTCCAACAGCTACTTCCCCTTGGCCTGGTGTTCAGGCTGCCATGTTTTAAAGTGCAAACACTGTCTTGGCTTCTCCTGATTCCCTTATCTTCCTGAGAACTGTTATTTAAAGGGCCATACACCGTCTGCATCCTGATCGCTGAGGTGTTGAGCTTGGTTTTTTTGCCTAACTCTTAGGTGGATCTTAAGTTTTGACAGATAATCAACATGCATGTTGATAAGGGATTTGGTTGATTATAGTCTCATTTTCAGGGAAATTTATTTTTTATTTTTTTTTCAGAGAAACAGAGTCATTATAAGCACTTAGAAAAATGAAATAAGGAAGTCTCAAACCAAATTATATTAACAATTTTAATCTTTAATGTGAGCTTCTACTAATCTCAATATTTTGAAAAAAATGTAACATGATACTCCCCAGAGGCTTTTTATATTCTATCAAAAGGCAAATGATACAGGTTATTTTAAATATATTAGTGTTCAGTTATCATGTCTGCGTCTTTTAAGAACAACATTATTTTATAGTTACGTTTTAATGACCCAAAACATTTGGATATTAATAGAATTTCTAAGAATAAGTTTTCCCTTATCTTTAGAAGGATAGTATATCTTTAGGAGTACCTCTAACAATTTTTGGCTTTTGTTGATGGGTGAACTTCTTTATTCTCCGACAGCACAGGCCATGTGGTTGGTTGTAGGTTAGATAGTGCAGAGGAGCTGGGGGGAGGTGGTTGCTAAGGAACAGCTGCAGAGGTGCTGGCCTCCAAAAGGTCTCAGAGAATCTCTTCCTGTGTTGACATCATGTTGTGGAGAGGCCAGTATGTCCTTGAACTTCACAAAGTCCCTTTCGGTACTTTGCACAGTGGGTGGTAAATTATCCAAGTGGATGCCCTGTTCCTGGTCTAAGAGGGTTCATGGTTCATTTCTTTTCATAGAGTTAATGAACGGTACATTTAAATGGCTTAGTCTTCAGAAACAGAACCTTTAATCCTGTTGAAATTAAAAACAAGAAAAAAAAATGAAAGTATTTAGTTTTAAAAGGTTGTGTGTCTTTTTCCTCTCCCAGCTGAGGATTTTTTTTTCTTTACAGATCCCTAAATTTATTGTAAACCAAGTGAGGAAGCAGAATACTGAGAATCAAAAGAAGGAAAGGAAAGCCATGAAGAAATTGCTGAAGAAAATGGCTTATGACCGGGAAAAACATGAAAAGCAAGATAAAACTGCAAATGGTGTAAGCAAATCATGAGGGTTCATAGTTATCATGACTGAAGTCCTTCCATTGTATGGCATTCTCCTGTTTACTGGGCCTCAGTAATAATATAAGTGAAGGGGACCAGTTTCTTTTTTTTTTAAATGATCAATATTGAAAATTGGTCAGGTGTTAGGATTCAGTGTGTGGTTTAGTAATGGTGAATGAAGGAATAATGTCAAGCAAAGACTACCTTCAATGTTCCATATAGTAACACACACACAGACACACACACACAGACACACACACAAACACAGACACACACACACACACACACAGACACACAGACACACGCACACACACGCACACACACACACCTTTTGTATAGTTCAGATTCTCACTGATTTTATGACATATACTGAGTGAAATTTCTCAGCACTCCACTAAGCTGCATCCATAAGAATTCACACAGAGACTGGGGATAGCTTGAGGCTGAAGAGCAATCCTAGACCCATGAAAAGTATTTAAGCTTTGTAATTCGGTCAGAATAATTTTAATTTACATTGTAGAGAAGAAAATTAAGATAAAAGATCCATTATTTACAAACTCGTGTACGGATATATTAAGAATCATTTTTATGATAATGAAATATGCATGAAAATATATTTATGAATTGAGTTCACAAAGCTCTGGTGGCAGCTCTCAGAATGAGGGAGAGGCCTTCTATTGTTCTTAAGGGAAAACACCCCTCACCCCAACTGAAGTTGCTCAGTTACATGCTGACATCTTGTGGAAAACCAGGGAAATACAGTCGTCAGCCTTTGTCCAATTTTTCTCCTATGGTCTACTGGGGTGGGGGGTGGGGGCAGGGTCCCAAAGTAATATTTTTTTGGCTTAAACTTATTTGTAGCTCTCTCTCTTTCTCACGAATAATACTTTCTTAGAAACGTAAAAATGTTTTAAAAATCAATTGTAAGTATCTCTAAAAGATACAAAATAGAAGTAAGGGAAATTATCAATATTGTTTATAGTTGTTTTAGAGCTTAATTTTAAAATAGGACTAGAAAGTATTTGATACAGGCAATTTTTCTTTCACTTTGGAATGCTCTATTACCTCAAACAGCATTAAGTAGTCACTGGCCTTGTAGTCCTGGCTGTTCAAATTAAGTGAGGCCAAACTGACCTTTCCTTTTTTGAAAAAAATCAGATATTTAGCAAAATGCTCTTGATCCAAGATACCGAGTCTTAATCCCCCATTAGATATTCAAAGAGACCCAAGCTTGGTGCTTGTTTTCCCACCCTATATTGAAGTGGGTAGCTTAGACTAACGTGTGTGTGTGTGTGTGTGTGTGTGTATGTGTGTGTGTGTGTGTGTGTGTGTGTGTGTGTGTGTGTGTGTGTGTGTGTGTTTTATGGAAGCCTGTCCCAGGTACTATATACTACAAAGCAGGAAGCAGACATTAGGTGGCTTCAGATGGGCTTAAATTTAGTTGTGAAAACAACTCATATCTGCTAGAAGAAAGAAGCATGGACCACAGAGGGTGTTCCTAGGGTCACAGCCCCACACTTGGAGCCTGGTTTGGCCTATCCTTTAGGTTGAGATTTTTTTAATTCAATTCCAGAAATTTACTTTTCAAGTTGGCATCATAGAGTTATATTGGTATCTTAGAATTACATGCATAGGAAAAAATTACAAAAGAGAGAACAAATGCACAAGATGAAATTCAATTGTGTCTGGATTATTTTTTGTGAAAGCATCCATCCATCCATCCATCCATCCATCCATCCATCCATCCATTGCTAGAAATGAAAAATCAAAAATTGAAGTTTTAGGTTAGATTTTTGTGACAATAGGAGGTCGCTATTGTCCAACAAATGGCTAGCCCTGCAGCCGATCCCTTTGAGTGAAATGTGAGCCACCCCACCCCCACTTCCTTGTACTTTATCACTTTTCTTCCTTGACTCTTCTGCTAAATACCCTTCATGTTCAGCCCAGGCCCTAAACGGTATGGCTGGATACTGCCTGAAATGCAGTCTTCATTCGTCAGGCAACTAGTCATGTTACCACTTACACTGTTCTTGAGTATTTGAAAGACATTATTGGGCAAAATAGACCATCTCTATTAACCACGGATGGGGACATTTTTGAGTAAAGGAAATATAAAATGAATAAATATAAGTAGATTATATGGTATTTTACTATGTGGAGTAGGCCATGCTTTAAATGTGTGTGTGTGTGTGTAGGAAGAAGCAGGGGAGGGAGGAGGGAAGGAAGGACGTAGTGAGGGAGAAAATATAAATATGTAATCATGTAGGAAACTGAGGATGGCCTAAAATTCACTAATAACAGAAGATGAATTGGAACTTCTGATCATCCTGTCTCAACCCCAGAGATCTCTATTGCAGATGAACACTACCATGCACAGCTTCTATGCAGTGCCCAGTGGATTTGTATATGCTAATCATACTACCCACTGAGCTGGGGCACCCGCACTCCCCTTTAGTGTTAATACAAAATATTGTGACTATAACAAACAAAGTGTTTATCTCATTGAGTTTACCATCTTACCTGGAGCAATTTTCTTGATGAATACATGTATCATAATTTCATCTTACCTCTAAATTCTCTCCAATCCATGGTACCTAGGGAATCTGTTTATACTGATTATCATTTATCAAAAATAACCATTTCAATTTTCTTCAGCTACAAAAGTAAATAGGAACAAGGAACTAAGAATTATGTCTCCCTGTGTAGCCCCAGCTGACTTGATGCTCCTTATGCAAATAAGGGTTGGCCTGAAACACACAGACATATACCTGCCTCTGCCTCCAGTGTTATGGAGTTAAAGGCATATGCCACCATGCCTGGCTTAAAAATATTAAAAAAGAAAGAAAGAAGGAGAAAAAGGAAGGAAGAAAGAAAGAAATCAAGCAGAGGAATTTGGAGAGGAGCCTCTTGCCATCTTACCGTAGTTAGCTTGGGTGTTATTCATTGTCAAAGGTATGACGGAAGTTTGAGCTCTGTGTCTGTCTCAGGAAGCTCATTCTGGGCAGAGGGAATAGTCTAGCCAGTCATAAGGCAAGAATTTGCTGGGGGCATTTGAACACTAGCATGGTGTGAACGTGCTAGTAGGACACCAGCTTGCCAGCAGGGTGCTATGAGGTCAGAAGGGCAGTCAGCATAGATCACATAGAGCCTTGGAATTTGAATTTAATCCAAGCAAAACTGAAGCTATTGTAAGATTTTGAGTAAAGGCATAAATACGTGTGGTACTTAAAAGTAGGAGGAGGTCCTTAGATCAAGCTAAGGGACAGTTGTATCAGTATCAGTAGAAGAGTAGTTGGATTCCTGATGTGTTTTAAAATTAGAGTCATTTGGATTCATTACTTGAAAATGATATGAGTTGTAAAAGAATGAAAGAAAGGGCAAAAGAATGACTGCAGGAAAGGCAGGCAGGTCTCTTGAGTTTGAGGACAGCCAGGGCTACACAGAGAAACTGTCTAAAAAAAAAGAAAGACAGAAAATTACTGACCCAAAATTCATAATTTGTGAGATGAGAAATTAAGATAACAACAGGAAAGATCTTAATTTCAAAATGAGATCTGTTGAGTATGTGAAGTCTGGTAGACATCTAAAGCTAAGGATAGATGTTTAAGTGATTTTGGAGGGCAAATTAAGACCTCGGTCAGCCAGAGAGGTGTACAGCATGCCATGGCCAGTGAGAAAGCAGGACCTGGGTCAAGGCAGAGCCATGCCTTGATTCTGTATTTCAATGGGAATTATGACAAACTTGAGGCTCTAGTGTACTCATTTGTATTGTATTTTGGGTCAGGCCTTGTAAGGGACAGTCTAGGGAATACAATGAGCTTTGGTAGAGACACTACTGATTAAAGTGTATACATTGGAACATGCTATTTAAAGACATGTGGCGACCATCTGAAAGTTATGCTGCTTATTTGATTTAAAAAAAAGCAAATTTTTAATCACATTTATATCTGTGTGCCAGAGCATGCGTGTGCAAGTGTCTGTGTAGGCCAGAAGAAGGGGTTGGCTCTCCTGGAGCTGGAGTTGCAGGTGGTTGTAAACCTCCCTCTGTGGGTGCTGGGAACTGAACTCCAGTAGTCTGGAGGAGCAGTAAGTGCTCCTAACCACGTTCAACCTCTTCTTCTACTTGCATCAACATTTTGTCTAGCCATGTTTGAAAATACTCTGATCATAAAGGGGTGTCTAATTAGATACGGCATGGTATATTTATATCATGAAGTATAAAAATGTACTTGACATAACATTTGCATATCATGAAGTACACAAAGTAAAAAATAAAATAAAAGTCACACCAGTGAAGAGTAGAAAACAAAACTTGTGAGGGATGGGAATTGGGATTTTTTTTTCTCTAATTTTGAGGAAAGAACCCAGTGCTTACTACTGTATCCCTGAGCTAAATTCTCCAACTCCCAAATTTTGTATACATTTACCTGGAATAAGGCACATTGCTAAAGATTTTATAAATATCTTACTTTAAAATCCTGTTTCTCTAGTTAGGGTACGTTGTCTTAGTTCTCTCAGATAAGGAAAGAATATTTTAAGCAGCAACTTGAATCTTCTGTAGAGAGAAAAGAGTTGGGATTCAAGGCCAATTATCTTTAAAATCTACCAATTCTTACCGTTTTCCTCAATATTTCCACAGATTACCAGAGTGTAGATATCATTGTGTTGGTTCTTATAATGTGTTGCTGATAGTCTGAAATGACTTGCAGGTAGCTTTTAAAATAACCCTGGGTAGGGGGTAAGGTCCAGTTGAAAAAGAGATTCAGAACAAGAACTAGCAGGTGTCAGAAATCTGGCTACTGCTCAAATATTAGGAGTATCGGAGGATGGATATGGAATGAGACTGAATTCTGTTTGTGAGATTTGCCTATTTAGGGGAGGGTTGCAGTTCTTGGGTCACTCAGAGCTTCAGATACATCATTGGAGTTAGCCTAGAAATTGTACTCGAGGCCACAGAATGCTGTGTAACTCAAGAAAGAGTCAAGGTGAGAAA